AGTGCCCAATCACAGGAAGGCACGAAGCAAAATATATTTTGATTTTTTAAATTAATAAAATGATAAATGGCCCTTTTAAAAATAAAATCATTTTCGCAACAATAAATACTTAGAAAATGTGTGTTTATTTATCGCTCACCCCAGGAATGGGCAGCAGGACATCGTTGTCCACAGGGGGGCAAGGAGGTGTTGGTTGTGGGCAGGCAAGTGTGGCCATCAGGGTGTCAAGCAGGTACTGGGGCAGCTGGCCACGGCGCACAAGCTCCGCACAGTCCGCAAGGACTTCGACTTCCACATCCTTGGTGGCGCACTGCTGGAGGAGCTCCTCGCGGCGGGCAATGAGTTCGCTGCAACAAAAAGAGAGATTAGCAACACACAGGGAGCACAGACACCAGCCAAGAAGGGAGAACCGTTTCTCCATGCGCAGTGCCTGAAGGCGGTCCTGGACTTCACCCATTGTGAGTGATGAAACCAGACGCCGACTTGCTGCGCTCGCGTTGCTGGCCAGTGCGCTCAGGAAGCCAGCAGGGGAAGACTCAAACTCGTCATCGTCAGCTGCCTGCTTGACCAGCTTGGCCTTGAGGCTTTCTGTGATTTTAGAAGGCTTACGACAAATAAAGTTAGATCACAAATTAATTTCAACAGATGGCACAATTAGAGATTGGCGTACCAACATTGGGTTGTCCTCAGAAGTGAGGTCAACAAAAGCCCCTCTCTTTCGTTTAGCGTACTTCATGCGTGATTCAGAGAGCGAATCATTGAAGATTTCCCGCATGGCGTCCTCGCCCATAGAGTGCGACAAGGCTTGAATCTTACCACGATCAAGGCGATGTTCAGCCTTCTCCTGATTCCTCTGCACAGCCTCCCAACGGGCCATCTCTGCTGCAGCTTGGCGCTCGACCTCCTCGGCATCCTTGAGCTTCTGCTTGCACGACAAGAGTTCTTGGCTGTGGGCGACACCTAGAATTTGAAGAATTATTAGCATTAAAAGCAAGAACATACTTGGCATTTTTGTATTGTACGTACACTCCCGGTAGCGGTGGGACAAGCACGACGTGAGGCTCTTGCAAGGCTGGAAGACACAGACGTGCTTCTTGACCTGCTTCTCCGGTGGGCCATTCTTGATGCCCTCGTACTTTGGGATGTGGCAAGTCGTACACATTTTTGGTGCCTTGAAGCCTTTCCCCCGCTCCCACTTGAGCGTGCGCGCTGGCATACAGAGCTGCTCCTGGTCTCCTGGGCTGTTGTGCTCCAAAGAGAACCAGTCACGAGGGTAGGCGCAGGCCGCATTGGTGACCGTGTAGAAGTCATCGTAGGAGAGGATCGTGGCAGGATCGACCAGCGGCGTTGGGGCGTGCATGGTAATGCTTGTTGTGGGCGCAGCGCCAAATGCATGTCCTCCTTCAAAAAAATTCGAGGTAAAGAAAAAATTATCATTGCAATGTCATCATTGGTTGTTTGATTGTGAAACACTTTTTTTTCGTCACACCACCATTTTTTTGGCGCAACGCAAATCAATCCACAAAATGCCTCGGCTCCACATCTACACGCCACGGCAGCTGCATCTCCATCAAGCACACCAGCGACGTCGGTATGCGCCAGTTTATTGCTATTCGATTCAATAATTTGTTTCTAATTAAGAACGATTTAGTCATTTTTGGTCTGTTTCTCGTCGTGCACTGGGCGCTTTTGCCAGCCAGTTTGGTGATGCTGCAGCTGCGCGTGCCTTTGGTGAGAGTCCTGATGTTGCGCGCTACTGGCGGCACAAGATTCAAGATCCCACATTCCATGCGCAGCCATGGGGCGGGTTCATCTATCGGTGCGTTCCCATCCGACCAAATTTCTTTACCTCATTTTTAATGCTCATTTGTTTACTCCCACAGGGGCTTAAAATTCGGCGACAACGATGCCACCATTCAAGCTGTCCTATGGCAGCTAGTAAAGGAGCACCCCACACACACGCTTGGAGACTTCGTCAACGAATTTCGAGCCCTCGGTGTGCCGGTCAAGCGCAATTTCATCCAGCGCATTTTTTCAAATTGGCGATGGTCGTGGAAGAAGCCGGCGGTCCATCAAGTCCTCAAGTACACCCCCGCGAATATCCTCTATTACCGTGAGTGGGTCTCACTCATCCCCCAGCTGCCCCTGGCCAAGCTCAAGTTCTGCGACGAGTCGCACTTCGTCGCGCGCCAGCTTCACCGCACCCAAGTCATCGGCCCCGTCGGTGAGCAACGCGTCCTGCGCGACGGTGGCAACCTCTCTGACTCATTTTCCCTTACCCTCCTGACCGACCTCGCAACGCCAGACAACCCCTTCTACATCGACATCCGTTCGGATTCCAACTCAGAGGAGGACTTTTTCAACTTCGTCGTGGCTGCCGTTGCTGCCGGCCGCCTTGCGAATGGCGACTTTTTCATCGTCGATAATGCCAGTATCCACTTCGGCCGGGCCACTCGACCTCGGCTTCGGCTTCTCTTCGCGCGCCACGGCATTTCGTATCTGTTCCTCCCGACCTACTCGCCTGAGCTTAACCCCTGCGAGCTCGTGTTTGCGTTCGTGAAAAACTACATCCGCGCACACAGGACGCCTGAGTTCCAGCTTCCGCAGCTTCTCCTTCAAGCCTTGACGCGGCTCGCCTACCGTCAGCTTGTCAACATGTATGTCCATTGTGTGAACATACTGGAGCGTCACAAATAAACGTTCAACCACCAACAGCTTCTGAATGCTTCCACCCGGCACGCTTACGCTCGAAGGGACGCGGCACAAGAGATGTCTGCAAAAAACTGGAAAACGCAGAGAAAGTTTATGTGTTGTGAAATTGGTGGAGAACTCATGGCACCTCCGTACGCCCGTAAGGTACGGCAAACGAAACTGCAAGTCGCTCCGTCCCGGAAACCGTTTCGACCAGACAATAGGACCAGGTTGAGGCCGCGTGAGGTTGAGCTCTTCAACGCGCCCGTGTGGGCGCGAAGGAATGCTATGAATGTTCGGGCCAAGATTGCAATCTTGTGTGAAATTTAATTGTCGACGATGAGCAAAACAGCTAGGTCACTTCCACCAAAACTCAGGTGGGAGGAAATCGCCACTTCGCACTAAGAAAAACATAAGAAGAACATCGACGCACAGCCAACCTCACCAAGCTGCACTTTCAACCTCGTCACAAACAAGAGAAAGAGAGAGAGAGAGACAGAACTTGCGCAGATGGGCGAGACCGACCTCGAGGAGCTCGATGAAGCAGTACTCGAAGAGTATTACGGCATACTCCAGGTGTTCGAGGAGGTGCGCGTCTTCACGCAGACCGACCGAAAGCGCCACGCCCTGCAGCTTGCCACCGCCGGTATGACGGCCGACGTGCTGCAGGCCAACGACCTAAAGGTGGCGGGCCTGGAGCAGTTCGGCCTGGACCCTCGGCCCAGCCTGGTCCTGCACAGCGCCCTCACCAAGCTGCGACTTCGCTGGGCGGCCCCTGAGGCCGGCGTCGTGAGCTGCCTCGAGGGCCAGACGGTCGAGTTCCAGATCAGCCTGGCCGGCGGGTCGGGCGCGTTGCAGTACAGGTGGTACAAGCACGCAGTGAGCCCGTCGGGCAAGCTCGAGAAGCGGCTGCTGGACTGCGACACGGACAGGCTGCGGCTGACGGCGGTGGACATCAACGACAGCGGCCACTACTCGTTCTGCGTGACCGACGCCGGTGGTGCACAGGTGCAAGCTGAGAGGCCTCTGTGGGAGCTGCGCGTGCGGCTGGTGCGCGACTTGGCCGAGCTCGACGCGCGCGAGAGGTGGTACCAGTGGCTGGACGAGATGGTTCCGCGGCCCCGCTTCCATCTCGCCGAGAAGACCAACAGAGTCATTCTCGACGAGATCGGTCTCGAGGTACACTCCCCCCTCTCTTCGCATTTGGTTTTCGTTTTTGTTTATTTTCCAATTCGTTTTATTTATTCTTTCGTATTTAGTTATGAGGGGTAAGAAATTGAAATGGGTAGTAATTGATAAACTGGTGCCAGGTGCTCTTGCCTATGTTCCATTCGCAAGGGCGGGGCTACATCATGTTCAAGGTGACGGCCGACGGACCAGAGAAGAACTCGTCAACGGTGATTCCGTGCCGCAACAGGGACTTCCTGCAGGACATCGTCGAGCTGCGCACCCTGGTGGCCCGGCCCACTGAGATCGAGCATCTGCTGGAACAGGGCCGCGCCAGCACCCCACTGCTGCGAAGCTACCTCATCTCCGTGCTCGGCGTCCAGCCGCCCGAAGACGCCGACGGCGACGCCCTGGTCGAGCTCATCATCGAGCACCTCGGGAAGTGTGAGGCGGAGAAGCCCCCCCTGCCCCCGGTCGACCTGATCGAAGGGAAGAAGGAGCTCTCCGGCGCCCACCTCGGCGCCCGGTTCCTGGTGGGCCAGAACGGCATCTACGCCCGTGGCTACGGCCAGCTGCCGGCCCCGCCCAAGGCCGACCTGAGCGTCATACGCAGGCCCGCGCCGGTGCCTCCCGGCCCGGAGGGCCTTGTGCAGAGCCTCCACCCGCGCGTCCAACGCCCCGCGGCCTTGGTCACGGCCACCGGTGACAAGCCACTTCCGAAGCTGGTACTGGGCGACGTGCAGCCGGTGGCCAGCGTGCACAAGATGGCCGCGCAGAGCGTGGGCACTTCAATGGGCATCAGCCTGGGCATCGAGCTGCTACGGAGCGGGTACCTCTACCAGCGCGGACAGATCTCGGGCAAGGCGGCGGCGCAGCAAATCGCCTTGACGACGGCCACCGGCGGCCTCATCGCCGGCGGCTACACCTACGCCAGCATGGCCCTGCAGCAGCTCGCCGTGAGCCAGGCGGGCAACCTGGCAGGCCAGGCCGCCAGGGCTATCCTGCGCAGCCCCAACTTCGCCGTCGGGGCCGTGCTGGTCACCATCTCGACCTGCGTCGACCTCTACCGCTGGAAGCAGGGCCAGCTCTCGGGGCGACAGCTGCGCGAGAACTGGTCGCGAACGTGGCCACGACGGCCGCGTCCACGGCGGCTGTCGTGGGCGCCGCGACCGTGCTCGGCGCAGCCCTGGCCACGTCGTGGACTGGCATCGGCCTCCTGGTGCTCCTGGGCCTTGGCGTGGGCCTGACCGTGGACAAGCTCGTCCGCAGCGGGGTCCGCTTTCTCGAGAAGCGCGCCCTGCTGCAGCGTATGCGGGCCGACGCGTTCGAGCTGCTCGGCCTGGACCCCAGCGACGTCCTGGATGCGGCGAAGAAAGAGGCAGTCAACAGGCGCTACCGCGCGATCAGCCCGTTCCTCCACCCGGACAAAGCCAACATGCGGAACGGCACCCTGTTCAGCCTCATGGTGGAAGCTCGCGACTTCTTGTTGAATCCTGACACCAACTTCAACCTCCTTGTCAACTTCCAAGGTACTGGCCATCACTCTTCAGGTTCTCTTCTGCTCGGCAGTTCGTGCTGACTGAGCGGCTTCTTCTCTCTACTCCCACCCTCTCCCTTGAAAGGCATGAGCGATGGTGAGTCCGAAGATTCATGAATCAGACCGACCGCTTGTTTGTACAGTCAAAAAGAGGAATTCAAATTGTCCACTCGCACTAAGCCCCAACCAACCACGAGATCAGTCTTTGTTTGAAAGAGGAAATGTGGGTTTGAGTCTCAACACAACCATCCTTCTCACCTCTCTGGTGTGATATGAATGGTATATGCCCATCTGTACCTTGCACACTGCCAATCGCATGCAGTGGAGGTGCAAAAAGTTGCTGAGGTGTGGAGGTGCAAAAAGGTGTGCAAAGATGTGAAGGTGGAGTTTGTAAGGTGTAGGTGAGAGTTGTGAACGTGGTGAAAGCACATGTAGAGCCATGTAGATCTCCAGAATAAACAGCATTGCCGTGTACAAGGTGACAGCTTGTTCTCCTTCACAAGCAGCAAGGTCAAGATCTGGACCAAGCTTCAAGGTGAAGGACCGCAGTCTTGTGCATTCCACATTAAATTGCAATTTTACATGCTTTTTGTGTGAGAGAAACCAAAAAGAGCAGATAGAAAAAGTTCAAGAAATCACAAAGAGAATGGAGGCGGAGCTGCTGGTCGCCCTCGAGCAACTGGAAGCGGTCGAGGCCGCGCTGCTGACGCACCCGGCCGACGCCGACCTGCTGCGGGCCAAGGCAGAACTCACCGAATTGCTCACCCTCTCCTCCCTCCTTCATGCACCCACCGCCAATCTGGTCGATGCTGGTGCTGAAGATGGAGATGGCGACAAGGGGGTGGCCGACATGTTCGGTGGCAACGACGACGAATGGGAACGCACGCACAAGCGCGAGTTCGAACTTCACACCGAACGACAGAAGCAGGCCTTCAGCACTTCATCATCCGCTACCCCAGCCTCATCAGTAACAACTTCATCTTCATCATCTTCAACAAAGCGCAGCGGCGAAGGCGACGACGTAGAGGGCGAGCAGGCCGGCTGGCTGGCGTGTCGCGTAGTAGTGACCGAGAGCTTGGGTGGCGGCTTCGGCGGACCACGGCAGCGGCGGGTGTGGCGCGAGGGCCTGCTCCACTCGCGGGCGCCCGACGACGCCGGGCGGTACCGGGTGACGCTGCTCCACTCGCGGCTTGTCCACGAGGTGCGGGCCGAAGACGTACTCCTCCAGGGCGCCACGCTCAAGCACCTCAACCACCACGCGAAGGCCGGCGATGACGGCGGCAGAAAGCGAAAGCGAAGGCGGGTGGGTGGCGGCGAAAGCGAAGACGATGAGGAAGAGGAGAGTAGCGGCAGCGACGACGGCTTCGCGGGGTTCAGCCTGATGCGAGCCACGGGCGGACACGACTACGTGGTGGGCGCCTGGGAGAGTCATACCAGCGGGATCGGCTCCCGACTGCTCGCCCGGATGGGCTACACGCCCGTATGTCCCCCACAACACGCACACGCACACGACACACGCACACGACACAGACACACATGGCTGATGGAGGGAGGGACCAGGGCAAAGGACTGGGGCGAGGCGGCGAGGGAATAGTGAAGCCGCTGGGCATCGGCCTCAAGGCGCCGTCGCGCAAGAAGGAGCTGCTCGGCCTGGGCCACGACGAGCGGACCAGCAAGCGCGGCAATGATGGCGGCGACGGCGCTGACGATGACGGCGAAGGCAGGCGCTCGCAGGCCTTTGACGAGGCCGGCAACCCGATCCCGCGCAAGCGTCGGCGCGGCGGCAAGAAGAGTCGGAACAAGAAGGCCGCCGCGGCGAGGGACGACGAAGGCGAGAAGAAGACGTCGGACGTGTTCGGCTTCTTGAACGAGATCGGGCAGGTCGGCGGCACCGCCAAGACCGGCGGAGGCGGAGGCGGCGGCGGCGAAGAGCGGCAGAAGAGGGAAAGGGAGCAGGAGAAGAGGGAGGACGGGTACAAGAAGATGAGCGCCAAGGAGCTGCAGGACAGCCTCAAGAAGAAGATCATCGAGAAGGACGACGTCAGCTCTAAGATCAAACACCTCGAGGAGAGCGTACAGCGAAACAAGGACAGGTGCGCGTGCGTGCGCGAGTGTCGTGTGCGTGCGCGTGTGCGGTAATGCGTGTGCATGTCGTGTGCGTGTGTCGCTCACCACCAAACCTTTCGGCTGCACGAGCAGAGATCCGGCGATGGCGGCGCAGGCGAAGCAGCGGATGCGAGAGGCGCGGACCAGGCTGCACACGCTCCACGCCGAGATCAAGGAGCTCGCCACGCGCGTCAAGATCAAGGAGGGCACCAAGAAGACCATCGTCTTCTGATCACCGCACCGCACACACATGACACACGTGTGCGAAGTGGAGAGCCTATAGTTATTTATTAAATTAAAAGAAAGAGAGAAAACGAAAGAGAGGAGGGGGAGGGGATCAAGAGGACGAGGACTTGGGGTCGCAGTGCTTCCACAGCTTGACGGTCTTGTCGTTCTCGAGACCGGCCGAAGCGATGATGTTTTGCGTCGGATGGCAGTCGATTCCCAACACCACATCTGCAGATGCACCACAAAGACACACACACACACACACAAGAGAGAGAGAGAGAGAAACACAAGTGGAGTGAGTGTGTCGTTCTCACTTCATCACGCCGTAATCAGTGATGTAGGTGTTTACCTGTGTGTCCCTCCAACTTCTGTACGATTTCCTTGGTCTGCAGATTCCACAGGTAGATGTTGTGGTCTTCCGAGCCTGCGGCGATGATATCAAATCAAGAGAAAGTGAGTGCACTGTCGTGTGCGTGTGTCGTGTCGTGTCGTGCGGGGGGGGGGGAACACACCTGAGACGATCCATTTGCCTCCGGTGACGGAAAAGCTGGAGAAGATGCAGTACTTCTCGTTGACGTGTCCCGTGTAGGTCTTGAGGCACTTGCCTGTGGAGTAGTTCCACAGCGAGATGGTGTTATTGAGCGTGCCCACCAGAATGAACTTGCCGTTGGGCGAGAACTTGACGAACGAACTGTGCGTGTGTTACACACACACACACACACACACACACACAACGCACGCAACACGACACAACACGGGCTCGAGTTAACAAGTGGTGGCGCGGTGGGTGGCGTGGTAGCTACTGATGATGGTGACAGGGAGGAGGAGATGCGTACACTGGCGGGTTGTCCTCGTCGATCAGCGTCTTAAGGCACTGGCCAGTGGCGGTATCCCAAATACGACTAAGTGAATGTGCGCGTGTGTGCGTGTGTGCGTGTGTGCGTGTGTGCGTGTGTGCGTGTGTGCGTGTGTCAGCTCTCATTGCCGTCAAAAGGCTTTCATAGGAGGGGAAAGTGAGTACCAGAGGCCGTCGTAGCTGCTCGACACGATGAGGGTGCCATCTCTGTTGAAGTGGACCGACGTGACAGGATCCGAGTGCGCCGGCAGAGTCTTGAGGCATTTGCCTGCAACGCGGCAAAACAAAACAGTGATTATCAGTGAAGCGCGTGAAGAAGTGCATCCATCAGAGCCTGTAGACCAGAGATGTGTGACAAAAAAGGCGGGCGCGTACCTTCTCGCACGTCCCATAGTCGCACGCTCTCGTCGAACGAGCCGCTGACGATGAGGTTCGACTGTGGATTGAAATTTACACAAAATACATAGCTCGTGTGTCCCTCCAGCGTTCGCAGACACTTGCCCTGCGATGCCAATGCCAAAGAAGAAGAAGATGATGAAGAAGAAGAAGAAGAACACGTTGGCGATGCGTGTGAGTGTGAAAGGAATCACATGTGCGCTACGCGGTGTGAATGCTGATCCTGGCATTGTAAAGCCAAACATGGACCACGTGTGTACGCAAGCGAAAGGGAAGAGTACCGTGCCGACGTCCCAGATCTTGATGGTGGTGTCGTCTGAGCCCGAACAGAGGTACCTTGAGTCAGACGACCAGGACACATCCGATATGCCCTGTGCAGAACAGATGAGAATTGCATAAAAATGAAAATGGAAATAAAAATCAGGGGGGTACTTTGTTCTTGTCCTCCAAAGTTTGTTCGAATCGCCCATCAAGCGCATTCCAGATTTTGATGGTTTTATCGGCCGCTACGCGCAAAATCGAGAAAAAGCTTGGAATTAGAGCAAGTGTCAGCAGATGAGAGTAGGGGTGGGAGGGGTACAGGCACTCGCCAGCCAGTTGCCATCAGTAGAAAATTTGACGCTGGAGATGGCCTTCTTGTGGCCCTGCAGCGTATACTTGAGGATGTAGTTCGGCTTCTCGCTCATTTTATGGGCAACCTCCGCTGGAGGCAGGGATGTGGAGGAAGAGGCAGCTCGTCAATGCGCCTCCAGGTTCACTCAAAGATCAGATGCAATTCGAACGTTGCTTTCAGTTTAATTCGATTTCTTTTCCCTTCTTCCCTTTACTCTTGGCGGGAAAATAAGTATAATAAAAAGGCGAGTAGGGCGGCCGCGACGACGAAAGGAGTTGATCTTTGTTTTGTTGAAGTTTGCTTTACACCTGATCGTTGTCTTCCTCCTTGACCTCGAGGTTTCGGTTGAGCTTGGGTCCGTTGTCCACCTTGATCTGGCCATCCTGCTCAGGCCCGCCGTAGGGCTCGACAGACAGGTTCTTCATCCTGATGATGTGATGAATAACGACAGGTGAGGACGCACACCAACTCGCTTGTGACCTTGTCCGCTAGCTGATGATGGTTGTTGTGGGAGAGGAAGTCAATGTACCTCTTCTTGTGGAGCTTGGTCTTGAAGTGGTCCTTCATGGAGTTCTCGTCAATGAAATACCGCCTGTTCACACAACATGCCAACGTAGGGCGCCATGTGGCCGAAGACGCGCAGGTCAGCGGATACTACTTGTAAGTCGAACGCTTCATAGAAAAGAAGAAGAAGAACGTACGCGCAGTGGACGCAGATGAACTGGCCGCTGCCGGGAAGGTCGAGGTCAAGCGGTGTCGTCACCTTGCCCGCCTGAATCTCGCTGTAAATCTGAACACGAGAAAAAGCAAAGGAGATGAGATTAAATCCAAGTAGGCGGGGATGACGATTGTCGGCTGGGAAGAGCCAAAGGACGCACCTGGTCCAAATCTGAACGCGCAATGTGGTGCGTGGGATGGATCTCGATTAGAGGTCGAATTGAATGAATGGATAACAAAATGAAATGTTGCCTGCAAAAGGGTACCCTTCGTTCGACGCTTCGTGGATTTGACCTTGGACGTTGTCTTGTCCTTGTGCTGCCTCTTTCGCCTCTGTCTGCCCATCGTCTGTACTTGATTGATTCTGTTTCAGATAGCTCCTCGTTTGTAAGTTCGAGATTCTGCCGGATTGCTTCTCTCTCGTTTCTCAACTCCGTTGCAGTTGTTTCCTTTCGTTTCCTTTCTTCTTCGAACTGCCCACAAGATGAAGCGCGTAGCGCATGGAGCGACCGGGCGAATGCTGATGCCAGGACGCACGGCAACTGCCGCTAAGCTGTGCACGCCGCCAGCATCTTCGTCCATGTGCCTTGTGGAGAAGCGTCGCTACTCTATCCAGCCCGAGCGCGTCCCCAAACGTACGTTGAGATGGGCCAAAATCCCATTTGGCAATCTCCATCCTGCACCATGAGCTTTTTCCCTGACGCGCTATGCCGGCGGCGCATTGTTGGATGTGTGCAGCGGGGCAGGGCGTTTACACCTGCGGGACGGGACGTAACGCTCAGCTTGGCGTGGGTGATCTCGAGGACTACCAACTTCCGGTGCCCGTCCAGGAGCTGCCCGTGGGTGCCTCCTACATCGACGCTGCCGCTGGGTGGACCCAGAACTTCCTCCTCACAAGTACGTCGAATGATGCCTTGTACACGGGTGCATTGCCCTGGCCTGGTGTTGTTGCTGACAGTCCCGGGACGCAACAGCCAGGCACGAGCTGTACTATTGGGGCTCCTCCGGTGTATACGCGCTGCTGCCCATGCGACGAGACAAGCGCATCTACTACCCCACCTTGTGCGAGCCTGCACAGAGCCTGGGCATCGTCAAGATTCGGACAGGCCGGCAGCACGGCATCGCGCTAAGCAGTACGCTCTCGTGCGCGTGCGTGCGTGCGTCTTCAAATGACTATTCGCTCACTCGGCTATCGGGACTACATCATAGAGAATGGCGAGGTCTACATATGGGGCAACAGCGAATTCGGCCAGACGGGTCTCGGCAACAAAGAAGCGCAACACCTTCCCATTCGCATGGAATTCTTTCGCGACAAGTCCATCGGTTCGACATCTCACCTGACCTTCATCTCTATACCTACGGTGGATGCTGATCCACCTTCACGATCATCATCACCATCACCATCACCATCTCACACACACACACACACACACATCACCGCAACAGTTGACGTATCCTGCGGGCTGGACCACAGTGCGGCCGTGTCGAAAGATGGTCGGGTGTGGACCTGGGGCTATGGAATCGACGGTCAGCTGGGCCACAACGGCACTGAAGACGAACTCAAGCCCAAGGAGCTTACCGTCATCCGAGGTTCGTCGAAGCTTGCCTCCTCACGGCGAATGCCGGCGCTCACGCTTCAGCTCAGGGGAGGGGATCTCGCGCGTGACATGCGGGACGGATTTTACGGGTCTTCTGAACGAGACCGAGGGCCGCCTGTTCACCTTTGGCAACGGCGAGGCGGGTCAGCTGGGCCACGGAGAACGGGGCCTCTGCCTCGAGCCCTCCGTCGTGCCCTTGGACAACGTCAAGGAGGTCGCCGCCGGCGGTGCGCACATGCTGGCCCTCACCAGTACGCCATCATCTCCGCTCTCTCCCACATGAGCACGTGCAATGTCTGATGGTCACACGCACACGCACCACCGCACACGCACCACCGCACTCACCGCTGCACGCACAGAGGACGGGCAGGCGTGGAGCTGGGGTTGGGGTGAGGATGGTCGGCTGGGTCATGGCGCAACGGAGGATTTCTTGAAGCCGGAGCCCATTCCCACGCTCGGGCCGGCGGTCGGAGTCGTCTCGGTCTCTGCTGGTGGCGGACATTCGCTTGCGCTCACCGGTACCCTGATCTATCCTATCTATGGTTGTAGGTTGTCTTCTTGCTTCTTTGCATCATCTCACACAACCACACCCAACACGCCACAGAATCAGGCCAAGTGTACGGGTGGGGCTTCAACGCCAGCGGCCGACTGGGCCTCGGCAACGAATCCTCGGTCATGACGCCCACCCTGATCAAGGCGCTTGCAGACAAGCGAGTCCTTCGCGCCATCTGCGGGCTCGACCACTCCCTCTTTATCACTCAAGCCTGAGGCACGAAACAAAATGAAATGGTTTCGAAATGTTACTGAAACTTGCGAAATAGTTCCAGGAAAAAATATAGGGCAAGCCATTTCTTTTTTCTCTTCTTGTTCTTCTTGGCTCGGCGGAAGATGGAGCAGGAGGAAGGTTTGTTGCATCTGTCCGACGAAGTGCTGCTCATGATCATAAAATGCGCTTACGACGCACATGACGTCGTACTCGCCGAGGCGCAGCACCGCTGGCCGCCGGTTGCCGAACCGGGGGCGCTCGTGGAGGTCATGAGCGCGGTGGGCCTCGTCTCGCGGCGCTGGCGACGCGTGGCGTGCGACCCCACCCTGTGGCGTCAGCGCCACGACATTGTGTTCGGAGGCGCGCCCTTCCCTCACCTCCAGCCTCCTTTTCCACGTACGTCCAATTTATATTAATTTACATTTATATGAATAATAATAATAATAATAATAATAAAGGACGAAAGGAATCAAACGAACGGAAGGAGTAATTTTTTGCGAAAAATAATAAGTAATAAGGCGGTTTTAATTGTAATCACATTTTTTTTTGCTTTTGTAGACATTGCCTGGCGGCAGGCGTACCTGGCCAAGGCGAAGCGCTGGTGGTGCGTGCGTAACTCGCCCGTTGCGCTGCAGGACGGGTGCCACCCTCCGATCCTCTTCGCCGTCGTCGAAGGCGCCCCGGCCCTCCTCGACCGGCTCCTCTTGCGCGAGAAGCCGGACACCGTGGCGGAAGACCTGTCGCGCCTGAGCGCCCAGAACCTGGTGCAGGCCAACAGCTTGGAAGTGGCCTTGGTACAACACTCATTGGCACCGATTCGATCCCCCCGCCCAAGCGCATCACGAACTCATCACGCAGCACGCAACACGCGCGACCGCACACGCGCCACACACCTACACAGAAAGTGTTGCAGGCAAGAGAAGCGCGGGGAGGTGAGCGCGACTACGAAGAGTGGTACCTCACGTTACCAATCTACGAGGCCGCCTGCTGGGGCAACGTGGAACTGATCAAGCTGATGCTGGGCCGAAGGCGACAGCCGAGCGGCTTGCTCACCCTCGGCACCGCCATGCAGGTGCCCACGAGCCGGCCCACCCTGCGCATCGATCTGGCGCTGACGTTACCCAACGCACACGACACACGACACTCGCGCGACGCACACGACACCGGCGCACTGCAGTTGGCAGCAAGAGAGGGACGGGAGCAAGTGGTGCGCTACTTCGTGGACAATGAGTTGGCTCTCGCGCACGACCCGGTGGCCAACGCCCAAGGGCAGTCGGTGGTGCTCGCCGCCTCGCGCGGCCACGCGAAGACGGTGGAGGCTCTGCTCGAGGGCTATCCACCCGACCTCTTCGACGTTGACGACGATGACGACGACAAAACCCGCGCGTACGTCGATCTTGTGTGTCGTGTGTGTGTGTGTGTGTGTGTGTGTGTGTGTGTGTGTGTGTGTGTGTGTGTGTGTGTTGTATGTGTGTTGTGTGTTCGTGCGCGTGAGTGGTCACTGACTGGCCCAATGGCGCAATGCAGGCGAGACACTCTGCGACTGGCGCTGGTTCACGCAGTGTCCGGCGGTCATGTGGAAACCGTGCGCGTGCTAGTCGAGGAGGTCGACTACAGCTGGCAACTGGTGCACGACATCATGGAGCAAGGCACACACGACACGACACGACACGACACGACACGACACGACACGACACGACATGACACGACACGAGAAATGACGATTGCTTGTGCAGAAGTGAAAACCATTGATCTCGGTACTATCGACGCGCTGCTGCCGGATCCGGCCTACGATTTAGCCGGCAGCCAGCAGGGCGCGGTGCGGAGAAAGTGGAGCGGGCGTCTGCTGTCATCGCGCTGGATGCGCACCGCTGCAGAGACTTCGCCCGCGCTGGCTATCGAGTTGGGCTGGCTCCTGATGGCCAAGGGGTTCTTCATCGACAGCGGCTGCCCGCTCAACGCCCTCCAGATCGCAGGTGCGCCCCCACATGACACACACCACACACCACACACACACCACACACACACACACACACACACACAAATGCCACACACGACGAGACGACACGCGAGTGACGGGGTGGTGGTGGTGGCGCACGGAACAGCTCAGGAGGACGCGAAGAGTGTGTCGCTGGTGAACTGCCTGCTGAGCATGGGCGCCAACCCGAAGGCCCGCGGCAGCCCGGGCTCGGCCCCGCCCGAGGTGCTGGCAGGACTCAAGGGCAACACAGCCATCATCGATGCCCTTTCCGCTGCGGCCGCCAGCGGCGTGACACCGGCGATGGTGACGTCATCTACCACCTTAAAGAAGACAACTGAGCATGAGGAGGTGGTGCCAGACGCTGGGAAGAAGCGGAAAGCGCCGAGCCACCCGATGATGCTGATGACGACGAAGAGGCGGGAGGCGGTGATGGCGGAGCGACTTTGGTGAAGCGACGACGCACGGAGGGAAACGAAGTGCGCCGGATGGCGGAGCTGATCAGGGAGTGGGTGGCGGAGCGGTGGAGCCAGGTCACGGCGCACGACTGGATCCCGCACCACTTCACCACGTTCTACCTGCGCGCCCAGCTGCACCAGTGTGGCCTCCAACCGCAGGTACACACGTTGCCCCCCCAACCTCCCCAACCAGCCCCCCCTATCCACCGTATGCCAATCCCTCATGCATTCATCGCACCACCGCACTCACACACGCTCACACGAACGGCCAGGGGGATGAGAGGGTGGAGCTGATGCGGCAGCTGGCGGAGCACATCGCCACGACGCGGCGCGAGAGGCAGGCCGCTCTGCTGGACGAGGAGCCCGTCGTCTATCCGCGCGTAGAGGTCCCCGGCCCCTTCCAGCTCTGGGCATGACAATCGCTCGAGGCTTTAGCCGTGTGAAAACCACAACGCCCCAGCAGTGTCCAGACTCGAACCGGCGAACCCGCACGGAGGAGGCTAAGCGGGTGGCGATAGAACGCGTAGGTGTTGTGTAGAATGTGAATGAGTAGTTTGGAGAGTGGAGAAAGAAGTGTTTTTGTTTTTGTTTACTTGCTCTTTGACCACGTAGGTTCGTAGAGACATGAGCCTGCATGGCGGTGCCAAGGGTGAGCGGTCGCTCGGCTCTGACCTTCAGTTGAGCATCAGCTTGACAAGTTCCAGGTTGCCCCAGCAGGCGGCCTCTTGATCGCCAACTCGGGTCCCCGCTCTTCAGCTGGCAACTGGTGCACGACATCATGCAGGCACGCACGCACGCACGCACGCACGCACGCACGCACGCACGCACGCACGCACGCACGCACGCACGCGGCGCGACACGGCATGAGAAATGACGGTTGCTTGTGCAGAGGTGAAAACCATTGATCTCGGTGCTATCGACGCGCTGCTGCCGGATCCGGCCTACGATCCGGCCGGCAGCCAGCAGGGCGCGGTGCGGAGAAAGTGGAGCGGGCGTCTGCTGTCGTCGCGCTGGATGCGCACCGCTGCAGAGACTTCGCCCGCGCTGGCTCCTGATGGCCAAGGGGTTCTTTATCAAGTAGCGGCTCCCCGCTCAACGCCATCCAGATCGCAGGTGCGCTCCCACATGACACACACACGGCACACACAAATGCCACACACGACGAGACGATACGCGAGTGACGGGGTGGTGGTGGTGGCGCACGGAAGAGCCCAGGAGGACTCCCAGGCGAGTGTGTCGTTCGTTAGGTCTGTGTAGTGGTGAACTGCCTGCTGAGCACCGAAGGCCCGCGGCAGCCCGGGCTCGGCCTCGGCAGAGGCGCTGGCGAGACGCAAGGGCAACTCGGCCATCGTCTGTGCCCTTCCGCAGAGGCACTTTGTCGACACCTCAATCCACCCAATCAGGCAATGAGCTATTTTTAGGTAACGAATGGCGAACGGCTGCTCTGCTGAAGCTTGGTCGCAAAGGCGAAAAAGTGGTTTCTTATTGTTTGTCTTGACGCGTGCAAGATGGAGTACAAGCTGGTGGTGGTGGGCCGTGGTGGGGTGGGCAAGTCGTGCCTCACCATTCGCTTCGTGGCCAACCATTTCCTGGAGGAGTATGACCCCACCATCGAGGACTCCTACCGCAAGCGGGCGTACATCGACGACGAGTCCTGCGTGCTCGACATCCTCGACACCGCCGGCCCCGAGGAGTACAGGTCCGTTTATTATTATTATTATTTGTTATTGGTATTTAGTATTCAAAAAAATGTCACATATGACACAGTTCCTGGCATACATCGATCGACTGACCACCCTTGTTGTTCACACACGTAGTGCGATGAGGGACCGGTACATGCGCTCGGGCCAGGGCTTCGTGTGTGTCTACGACATCACCTCGCGCTCGTCCTTCGAAGAGGTGACGGTCTTCTACGACCACATCCGACGGTCAAGGATGTGGACCACCCGGCCATGGTGGTGGTGGGCAACAAGTGCGACCTGGAGTCCCAGCGCCAGGTGGCCGTGGCCGAGGGCGCCGCGCTGGCCCAGTCGTTGGGTGGCGGCTGCGTGTTCCTCGAGACCTCGGCCAAGGCCGACATGAACGTGCAGGAGTGCTTCTTTGCCGCCGTGCGCGAGATCCGTCGGCTCACCAACAACAATAACGACGACAGAACCAACTCCACGAAGAAGAAGAAGAAGAACATGAACGGCGGCAACTCCCAGCGCTGTTACCTCTCCTGATGTACAAAAAAAAAGATGTGTTTTATACTCCATTCAACTGCAGATTATGAATGACAGGCTCATGCCACGCTTATGTGACTGTTAGACACCTTTCCCCGCCAGTGTGGCGGAAGCACAAACACAGAACATCATGGATGATCAACCATCAGCCCACATAGTGTTGAATGCTCTTTCATTATTTTCTTTTAAGAAGAAGAATAACGAGACAGATCTCATCGTTGGTTGAGGCTTAGTGCGAGTGGACCTTGTGGAACTCGAAGGTCTCCCACTCCTTGGGCGACGCGCGGTCGGCCACCACCTTGCCGCTGGGCTCCACACACAGGTACTTGCCATGGTGGGTCTTGAAGTGGACGCGCTTGTTGCCCAGCTTCTCGACGTGGAACGTCTCCCACTCCTTGGGCGCGTCGCGGTTGGCCACCACGGTGCCGTTGGGCTCGGCCGAGAGGTACTTGCCGTGGGCCGACTTGAGGTAGACCTTGCCGCCGCCGAGCTTGACCACCTCCCAGTGCTCCCACGCTGCGGCAGCGTCGCGGTTGCCCACAACCGCGTGCGCGGCGTCGGCGCAGAGGTACTTGCCGTGGTGGGTCTTGACAGTGAACTTCTTCGGCATTATTGTGGTGGTAAAGGTGGAGCTTGGGCTTGAAGGAGAAGATTGTGGTTTGTGTGGTCTGAGACTGGGCATTTATACCCGGCCGGTAGCCCGACAAGTAGCTCTGGGGCGGGTCCAATCGCAATCAAACAAAGTGCACCAGCCAATGGCAAATTAGTCGGAGCTAAAACGAGTTTCGGGCAGTGGGTGTATTGAAGGCCCTGGTGAAAAAGGAATGGAGGAAGCGACAGCGGAGGGTGCTCTGTGGCCCGCCTGAAGGCCGGCCAGATGGAGGTGTGATACTACGAAGTAGCACCACATATCCTAATCGGCGCATTCCCCTACTCCCACGACTGGCGCCCCGCCCTTCTTTGTGCCCTGGCCGCCCTTTTCACTCTTCTTGTGGGCGCGCAAGAGCCCAGCTTATTCCTCGCCAATGTATTGGATGGTGCTCATTTCGATGGAAAGAGATCACACGACCAATCACAACAAACCGGAGCCCGGACAGCAAAGCCAGCTTTAGAGGAAGGTGAGGGGAGCCAGGGGGTCGTCGGGCAGGACGAGGCGGTAGTCCTTCCGCTGGCCCTTCTCCTGAAGCACCCGACAGCCAGGCAGCAGGGACGCGAACGCCGCCAGCCCCTCCGCCGTGATCTTGTTGCAGCCTCGAATCTTCTCAGCACACACGAACACACGAAACGCACGGCACACGCACACGACACGACACACGCACACACGACGCACGACACACGGGCATGGTGAGTCACAAGAGCGAGAGGACTGGTTAGGCCCGTGCGTGGTGGAGGGTACCTTCAAGAAGCGCAGCGAGGGGCAGGAGTCGGCGAGCAGGGTGAGGCAGTGATCGGTGATCTTGTAGCACTGCTCCAGCTGCAGGTTCTCCAGCCGGGGGCAGTGCGTCGCCACCTTCGCCACACCTGCCTCACGTCAAGGTACCACGCGTTAGACCCGCAGAGTGCGCGAATGCGTTGTGTGGGTGTGTACATTGTGTGTGTGTGTGTGTGTGTCTGTGTGTCTGTGTGTGTGTGTGTGTCTGTGTGTGTGTGTGTGTGGTAATGGTGAGATGCCTTGGTCGGTGATCTCATAGCAGCCTTCGAGCTCGAGGGAGCACAGATTGGGCACCAGCTTGGTCACGCTCTCCAGGCAATCGTCGGTCACGCTGGGCGGTCGACCGCTCACCACGTCAGCACGGACGGACGGAAGGAGAGAAAGGTGAGGGGAGACCACCACGTCACACATACCTCGAATTCCACGAGAGATTGAGCGAGGTGAGCGCAGGGCACGGCGACGAGAAGCAAGTCTTGAGCCACGCCTCGTTTACTTGCGAGCACTCCTACGAGAAGAGAAAAGTCGAACGCCGCACGACACGACACGACACACGACCAACGACACGACACGACACGCACGGCACACGAGGCGGGAGAGTAGCGAACCTCGAGATTGAGGTGAAACAGGCGGGGAAAGCGCTTGGCGATGTCTGTGAGCGCCTCGCCGCGGATGGTGGTGCGGCTGATGTCCAACAGACGCAGGCTGTCCTGCGACTCCGCCTCGCCGATGCCCAGCCGCTGGATCTTGCAACCACTGCGGCCCACAAAGTTGCGTTCGTGAATGACCGCGAAAGTGTTGCATTGAACCACAACTCGGTGGCGATCGAGTGGAGTGATATGAAGAAGAAGAAGAAGGAGAAGAAGAAGGAGACGATGATGACGCGCACCTCACATTGAGGTACTGCAATTGGGCAAAGTGTGCGAAGAGGTCCTTCATTCCGCTGTCGGTCACCATCTTACAGTCCCGCAACTGAGATAGAAATGTATCAAATTAATCATATATAGAAAAGAAAAGATAACACATACATAGAAGCAAATATAGATTATTAAAAAAGAATATCGAATGCGCAAAGAAGGTGTACATTGAGAGCGCGCAACGGGGGGTTGGCTGCGATGATCGCGCGCAGGGCGGCGTCTGCGATTCGGCACCCCTGGACTTGAGCATCAGTACACGCACACACGCGACGCACGACACGCACGACACACGACACGCACGGCACAAACGCGACACGACGTGGCACACACGCAGAACTGTGTTGGGCGTGGCGGCGGACCTCGAAATGTAGCGCCTGCAGCTGCGGGCAGGACTTGAGGATGGCACCGACGTCGGCGCTGGTGAGCTTGTAGCACTTGCCCACGTTGAGGGACCGGAGGTTGGGTATGCTGGGCAGGAGGCGCTCCACGACCTCTCGCACCACCCGCGCCACCGTCGTCAACTCAAGCGACTGACAGCACGCACCACACACGACAGGACACGACACAGGGCACGACACGACACGACACGACCAACGACACGAGTGAATGCGAAGTTTGTGACAAACGTAACGGAAGTGACACGGCGGTGTACCCTGGCCTGCGCGAGGTAGTGCATGGCCAGCGCGTTCCAATCGCGGCTCACCATTTGCAACCCCAACACCTGCCGCGTGGTCAAGCTGCCCATTTGATTATTAAGTAGTTATATTTATTTTATATTGTTATTATTTATTATTTATTATTTATTTTTATTTGACGTTGGACGCCGTGTCGTGGGTCATTCCATCTGCAATAAAATCGCGGGAACAGATTGAGAGGGCGATTATGAACCTGGCGAGGATGTGAAAGCTGACCTCCAGCGGCAGTGTCTCCATCTTGGCTTGTTGTGTTTTGGCGGCCCAAAGGGAAAAGTTAAGTTAACTGCTGACGTCAGGCCTGTGGTGTTTTTTCATTTTGTAAAGAGACAGATCAGCTGTGCTTTCTATCGTCCTTCTTGTTCTTCTTGGCGACCTTGGTGTCGCGACGCCACAACGAAGTGACCTTGTCCCCAAGAGCCTTCTTGCTGAGCGGCGAGCCACTTACTGTTGACGGGGACTGTTGAACGTTGTTTCGTTAGTGCTGGTACACAACGGTACCGGGGTTGGTGTATGCGCGTACCGCAAACATCCCCAACTCGTGGGAGCGCCATCTGTGGTTGGAGAGGTACGGTGGGGGCAAAAGTTAGGACAAGCACAAAGATGACGAGTGTGATGGAAGGTAAGGAAGGGAGCTGTGCTGAGGAGGTACATTGGATTCGTGGTGTAGGTGGGTGTGTGACTCCCCTTGGACGAAGAGTCCATGAACTCCATTATGGAGTGGCTGATGGGCGGCAGCCCAGCGGGCGAAGGAATGTCCTGTGCTCACATTATTGTTCACATGTCAGGAAATCGCATCGGGCGGCACAGATGTGGTTGTGTGTCGTGTGGTGTGTGGGCTGCTTGGGCGGCGTACGGCAGGGAGTGTGGTGTGTTTCCTGAGTTCGTGTTCATCACTTCTTGAGGCCCCGACTGAGATGGTCGATTGTTAGGCAGGAAGTCAACAGTAATGCAGTAGTGGGGGGAGGGCCAAGTACAGCTCTCTTCTGCCTTGGTTCCCTTGCTGGCGTTGAGACGTATCGACGCCACCCACGCGCTCCGTTCTTCGCTGGTGGAGGCTGCCAGCAACCAGATCTCCCCGAAGTCTTGGCAAGAGCAGACTCTTATTAGGCTCCACCACTATCACTGAAAGACAAAATAGGCACCAACCTGTACTCGAGATCTCGAACGGAAACCCGATCTTCACGTCGGCCGGGTGCTCTTTCACGGCAACTCCTGGCGTCAGCTGTTGCCAGCAGGGAGTCAGTTGGGTTGTTAGTCCAGTCATTGCAGGGTTAGTTGAGGAGGCAACGACGTACGGGAAAGGTGCCCTTGGTCGCGCCGATGGAGATGTTGCTGGTGAAACTGAGGGTACCTTCTCGAACTGAGAAATTGCGTGACCTCCACCGTCGCTTCTCCATCATCTGAAGAGAGCCCGCCTTCTCCATCTCGCCTTGGCCTGAGTGCAGGCCACGCACGTTAACATCGGAACCAACAAGAGGATGTAATCGTCATCGTCACTTCGATCCAGTGTGGTGTGCGTACTCTGCGACAACGGAGCTGCGCTGGCCTCGTGCGCCAGCAGATACCGCACGCACTGGGCGAAGGGCTCCTCTACGTTCTCCTCTTTCGCAGACAACTCCACGAAAAAGGCCGAGCCCAGCTGTCGCGCTAATTGACTGCCCTCCTCGAAACTCACCTACACCACGGCCACAAGGGGCTGTGTCAGGACAGGTTTGCGATAGGAACTGTGGGGCGAGCAGCTACCTGTCTTCCAAAATGTTCGTCGGCCTTATTGCCCACGATCACGATGACGTGTGGGAGCTTGGTCTCGGTTTTGTGCTTGTGTATGAGCGGGTAGAGCTCGGTCAGTCTGTCGAAGCTGCCTCGGGACGTGACGCTGTACACCAGGATGAAGCCTTGCATCGGTAGCAGATACTGAACCCCAAATCAAAGGTAAGAAAGAAAACAATCAAATCGAGGAGAAAGGAATGCGAAGCGGACCTCCTTGGTTAGACTGTCTAGCGGAATCATGCCTGAGGTGTCGGTCAAGCGAAGGATGTAGCTTTTGCCATCAAGTCCCAAGCGATACTTTTGTTTGTGCTCCTCTGTGGTGTGAGTAATGGTGTTTTGAGTTGTTGTGTTTGTTTGCACATCACAAAGAAAAGAAGAATCATAACAAGAGGGCACCAAGGACCCACCTCCTGTGCTGACGTATCGTGGAGCGAAAGTGTTGGAGATCAACTTTCGAATGAGGCAGGTCTTGCCCACGAACAAGTCTCCCATCACCGCCTGGGCAGATAGGGAAACGAGCAGGGTGAGTGAACGACCAGGCGCAAACGCAAACTCAGGGAAGGCAGTGGTACGATTTCATATTCGGTTAAGCTGCTCACGTCAGCCACCGCCTCCCGCTCAATCGTAGCCACGGCGGACTTTTGTGAGGCTGCGGCCACAGGTGATGCTTAGGGATTCGCCAAGGTGGTAACAGAAACCCCGTGCTGCGTACCAATTAAGCCATACTCCTCGGCCAACATATCCCGGATGCATTCCTCCACCCCGACCGGGTCGTCCTGTCGCACTTCCTTAAAGGCGCACTTGTAGTACTCTGAGTACCTCTTTCCCTCCGATGTGGGCACTTGTCGAATCTTGTCGCTCTTGTGATAGCCAACAATCATCAGCGGGAGCCGCCTGGCCACATCAAACTCAGAGTTTAAGAACTGGGATGTAGCCCTGCATGTGCACGAGGTGATGAGGTGCCATACCACCCCATGTGCAATTGGTCCGTCATGCCCTTCCGTAGCTCGCGGTCGAGGAGTGTGGTCATCAGCCTCTCGCGTGTAAACTTGAACTCTTCGAAGCTTGCCCTCGAGGCCGTATTGTACACAAAAATGAAGCGGTCCCCCGATCGCACGGCCTGTAGCGCAGGAGTGTGAGATCCTTGCACGCGAGAGAGAAAGAGAGAGCAATCGACGAGGTTGGCAATTACCTGATCGCTGATCCCCCAGCACCCGCATAAGTTGGTGTCGAGGTTTATGGTGAATGCTGTGCCGCTCAACACCAACCGTTTCTTCATCACGACGGGCACGCCTGGACCAGACCGTTAGACCGTGCTAAAACGAGACCTAGTGCTCAGTGAGCGAGTGCAGGCCCTGTACCGAGTGTGTTCAGAGCTTGAGATCGACCAACAAACGAAGTTACGAATCTGTGCTTGCTCGAGGTCTCCGTGCCCAGCACAACCTGGCCTCAACAATCAATACCATCCCCACCTGGGGGCGAGATTTTAAGAGGAAGGTACGTACGACATTTATCGATTCTTCTCGTAGGAAAGTGGAGCTGCTTGACTCCATCTTGGTGCCCTGCCGGCACTCGATTGGGGGGGGGGGTTGGTGTTGGAGGCCCCGTAATAAACTTGAGGAAAAAGAGGAAGGAGAAGCCGAAAGTCTAGTCTATCAACGATTGAACAAGCGGTCGGCAATCGATCAAGTCGCCAGAGATTAGGCCAAGTGTTTGAAGGGGCACCACAGATCCGTTGGTGGGGAATGCGAAGCAACATTCTCGCCCGTAATAGGCAAAGGCCACGTCAGCATCGGCTTCGCTGACGTGGCAGGCGAAACAAGAAGGAAAAGACGGTGAACAAACCAACCCAAAAAGGCCCAACAAGAAGGGAGAAGGGCACTGGCAGGCCACCACAGCTGTGCAATTGCCTGGCTGTCGTGACGACCTTCTTCTCGGAGTAGCGACCGCGAAATGTCGAGGAAGATGGAGGAGACCACCGACGTGGTGCCCGACTTCTTTGGCGGCGGCGGCGGAGGCGCGGACATCGACATTTTCAACACGTTCGCAGCGTCTTCTCCATCGCCTGCATCGCCTTTGCACGGCGGATTGAGCGACCATCCTCCCAATCATCCTCAGCTGCACCAGCAATCTCATCCCCCTGCAGCAGCGACAGCCTTTTTTGATCAATTAGCCGCTCCATCATCGCCATCAAATCCGAGCGTACATACCGAGATGGCGAAGCCCCACGACCTGTTCAACGGTCCGCCGCAGGAGGACGATATTTTCGGCAACAGCAATCAGCAGCACGAGGAAGATGCGTCCTCTCTCTTCGGGGGCAGCACTGCATCGGGGCCTTCGTTCTTCGATCAACTTGCGACACCACCAAATGGGCACAACGATTTTCCAGGTGGAGGCGGTAATTTCTACAACACGCCAACGCCCCCTGCTGCGAAGATGGTGTCGCCCTCCTCCTTCACCACTCCCGCGCAGCCCTACGCCCAGATGCAGCCTTCCTCTGCCCAGCAATTCGACTCGTTCGGCTCTGCTGCACCTCCCTCCCATCTCGGCATGCAGACCCAACACTCTCCAGCTGGGCCGCAGCTGCATCAAGCCACCGCAGCCCCTACTACTCCTGCTACAGCTGCCCCACCGCCAGCATCTCCCACGCATTCAACTGCAGCATCGTCAGCGGCCTCCAACTCGGGCAATTTCAATCAATTTTCTACACCTGCGCCGCAGCATAATGGCGAAGAGCTGCCGGCCGACATCTTTGCGTCGAGCGGCGATGCATTTTTCGATTCCCTAGGCGGCCCATCGACCATCGCCTCTTCTCCCGCCAACGATTTCTTCGCTGCTGCCGCCCAGCACCAGCAACCTCCCCCCTTTTCTCCTTCGCACCACATCGCCGCCCCGTCGCAGCCGACGCACGCGCACCTCTCGTCTTCTCCCTCGCCGGCAGCTGCAACCTCCTACGCGTCGTCTCCCTCCACACCCTCCTCTTTCCCCTCCGCTCAGCCAGGTGGCGGTGCCTATCCCGGCGCTACGCATCAGCATCCCAGCCCCGGCGGACCGCAGCAGCCGTCCCCGTACCAGCCCCAACAGCAGCACCAGCAGCACCCGCAATACGCGCACCAGCAGCACCCGGCTTCGGCGCAGTACCCGCACCAGCATAGTACGTTCTAGCGGTTCCACGAAGGGGAGAAGTGGCACTTTGCAGCACTTTCGCTTCTCTTGAGAGAATTCATTTCACTGACGTGTGTGTCGCGTGGTGTGCAGCTCAACCTGGCGCGAGCGAGGCCGCGCCTGGCGCCCCCTATGGCCAGCAGCCGCATCATCCCTATGGCTCCGTGCCCAGCCCTGCTACTGGCGGCATCGGTGCTCCGTCCCCCTTCAACGTCGCCGCCGGCGCCGGCGGACCCGTGTCCGTCTTCACGCCGACCATGGCGCAGGCGCCGGGCAGCCAGGGCCGATCGACCGCGCCTGCTCAGCAGCACCCTGGTGGCGGCATCAACCCCTATCCCCAGCCGCCTGCCACGGCGCCCGTACCCTTCATGGGCCGCGGAGCGGGAGGCGCTGGACCCGGCTTCCCCACGCCTCCCGGCTCTTCGGGCGGTGCTGCTGCCGCACCCTCGGCCACGCCCACCAGCGCCGGATCCGTGGCCTTCAATCTTGGCAACGGCCCGCAAGCGCCCGCCGGCGTCTTCCAGCCCTCGGCCACGCCGACGCCGCCTGGCACCGGCGGCACGGGGCAGTTCACGACGTTCGTGCCCCGGCCCGCGCAGCCCGTCGGGCAGCCCACACCCGTCGGGTCCTCCCCGTACGGGGGTGCGCCGTCGCCCTTCGTTACGGACAGCTACCAGTCCCCTGTGGGACCCGGGTCCTCGATCCCCTTGAACCGGCTCAGCACCAGCGCCAGCGCTTTGCCCCAGAAGGTACACTCATTATTTGGTCATAAATGATTTTTGTTGTTGGAATGCAACTAATGTTTGCGTGGAATGTGATTGCAGCCGCAAGTGGACCCGTACGGCAGGACGATGCTCACCCAGTCGAGCCCAGCGCCTCAGCCCGGACCCGGTGGCTACTTGCAGGCCAGCACCGGTGGCCAGCCGGGCGGCTATCAGGCTCCGGGATACGGCCCGTACAGCCCACACCAGCACCAGGGCCACCAGCACCACCGCAATCGCTCTGTGTCGCTGCAGCCCAACCCGCAGCAGCTCTCGGACATGCCGCGCGTGGCCTCCAATCCCGAGTTCGCGCGATACGGCGTCATGTCGCCGCCCGGGTCGGGCGTCCCCGCGCATCTCGCCCACAACCTCAGCTACCTCAACTCCATGCCCGCCATGCCGCCGTCCATGGGCAACCCGCAGTATGGCTACCCCGGGGGACAGCCAGATAACGGATATGGCGGGCCGTACGGCGGACAACAGCTTCAGCAGAACGGCGGGTACGGCGGCCAGCAGGCCGGTTGGGGCGACATGTCGTCGTCGTCGCCGATGGGTCAGTACGCGCCCGCGCCGTACGGCATGCAGCAGCAGCCGCAGGACCGGCTTCTCTTCGATCGACCGCACGCCGTCGCCACGTTCGGCTTTGGCGGCAAGCTGTTCACCCTCATCCCGCGTCGGAAGCGAAAGCTCAATGTCTACCAACCGTCCGGCCCGGTACGCAAGCCCACGGAAATGAATGTACCCCCGAACCCAGTGCTGACCTGCGACGCTTTGGAATTCGATGTATCTTCGGTCACGTGTGTAGCAGGAGGTTGATCCGCAGAGCGACGAGCTGCTCCAGGGTCCTCTCAAGATCATGCCGGTCAACGAGATCCTGAGCAAGACCAGCTTCATGGCCACCTTCACCAGCTTCCCCGGACCGCTCAAGAACGCTTCCAAGGTCCGCGTCACAGTTCGATTGCGCGCCCTCTTGAGGTGGAGGCACTGCTGACGCGTTGGGTGTGTGGCTTGCGTGGCTTGCAGGACGCGGTGAACAAGTACGTGAGCAACAAGGCCTCGGGCGCTTCCGAAAGCGAAGACGCTATGGCCGACCCCGAAGCCACGCAGCTGCTGTGGTCCCTGCTCAGGGTCATGTGCACCCACTATGGTGCGTGACGCCCCGTCTGTGTAACTGATCGCTGGGGAGCGACGTCAGGCACTGACAGACCATCACCATCACCATCACCATCACCATCACCATCAGCACTATCACCACTATCACCACCATCACCACCATCACCACCATCACCACCATCACCACCATCACCACCATCACCACCATCACCACCATCACCACCATCACCACCATCACCACCATCACCACCATCACCACCATCCTCTGTGTTATTACCCAACGCGCAGGTGACCTGAGCCAGCAGGACGCGCTCAAGGAGGTGAGACAGGCACTGCTGGAGGGCATCAACCCGACCGACTACAACGCCGTACGCCCCTCCCCCCACACACCCACAAATGCTTCGCTGGCCGATACGAACCGCCTCACCCGTCCCTCCTCCTCCTCCCCACCGCAATCAGGCCTCGGCCGCGGCTAGCGGTCCTCTGTCCGGCCCAGCGTTGGAAGCCGCGGTGAAGCAAGTCGAGCAGCTGCTGCTCTCCGGCGAACGCGAGAAGGTGCGCCCAGTAGTCCTGACACACGCACGCGTGCGCAATTGAATCGTAATGGATAACTCACCGGACGGTTTGCTTGATTGATTGGTCGTATTTCGTTCTTCCATTTTAGGCCTGCCATGCGGCGATGGAAGCTGGCCTGTGGGGCCACGCCCTGTTCCTGGCCAGCCACCTCAACCCGCAGCTGTACCAGACGGTCTGCAAGCGATTCGCCCAGTCTTCGATCTCCGAGGGCTCGCCCCTCCAGACTCTCTACCTCCTCCTGGCCAAGTGCCCACAAGGTAACCTTTTCCTCCCACATCTATATATGTTTATATATGTTCTACATATGGTATCTACATTTATTCATATGTACATCCATATCTCTCGATATGCATATTTGTGGCCGTACGCTCGATAGAAATGTTGAAATCTCTTCAAGGCTCGGGCGGCTCCAGCGGCACGGCGGTGGATCGCTGGCGAGAGAACCTGGCGGTCATCCTGGCCAACCGCATGCAGGGCGACGTCAAGGTCATCGGCCAGCTCGGCGACATGCTCTGGTCCACTCAAATGCGAGTCGCCGCCGCCCATTTCTGGTGCGTTTTTTTCTTTCCTTTCGTGCGTTGCGGGTAATCGAAACTGACTGTCGCACGCGTGTCGCAATTGCAGTTACCTGGTGGCCGAGACGCCGTTCGGGCCTTTTGAGAACCCCAACTCCCGCCTGATTTTGATTGGTGGCGACCACAAGACGCAATCTCGGTAACCTTTCTCCCTTGTGCCCTGCTCTCTAGTGTGTCGTGTCGTGCATGGTTCCAACGACGAACTCATCACCGCCTATTTGTCTTTGCTTTGCGATTTGGGTGAACGCGTGCGCGCAGACTCTTTGTCAGCCCCGAGTCGGTGCAGAGGACCGAGGTGTTCGAGTACGCCAAGGCCCTCGGCAACTCCCAATACACGCTTCCGACGTTCCAAGTGTATAAATTTATTTATGCTGCCACGCTTGCCGACCTGGGTCTGCTCCAGCAGGCGTCCAAGTACTCCCCCTCTCCCGCCTCCACCCAATCAGCTCTCGTCATAGCTCGCGCTGACTTCCCAACCCTTGGCGCGGCTATCCAGCTATTACCAGAGCATCTCCGCGGTGGTGAAGGACCACGCGGGCATGTGCAGTCCCGCGTTCCTTGCGCAGCTTCACGCCTTTGGTGATAGGTGCGTTACCCCCGTACACGCGCATTGCTGGACTGTCCAAACGCGCGTTCTCTCGTCTCACCGCACGCACGCACGCACGCACGCACGCAACAGGATATCAACGATCGCGCCGGCTTCGCGAACGGCGGCGCTGGCCCCTCCCGGCTGGTTGTCTGGTCTTGTACAGAAGGGCCTCAGCGCGCTGATCGGCGATGAGAAGAGCTCACCGGCGGCCGGAGGAGCGGCGGCGTCGACCGAGAAGATCGACGTGCAGGCCTCCGCCACCGTGTCGGCCCCCGGCCCCGCCTCTGTGCCCATGGTCTCCGTCGTGACCGGCGGCAGCGGCGGCCAGCAGCCCGGCATCCCGAGTGTCGCCGGCCCCTCGCCGGTGATGTACAACCCATCGACGGGGGCGGCGGCGATGAACCCCGCGTCGATGCCTATGATGAACCCGGCCTCGGTGCCGATGATGATGATGAACCCATCGTCAGGGCCGGCCTCGTCATCGCCGTATCATCAGCCGCAGCCGGTGATGCACAACCCGGCGGCCGCCCACTTTGGCGCTCCCGGCGGCGCGCCGAACTTCAACGGTGCATCGTACCACTCGCAGCCGCAGCAGCAGCCGGCCGACGATTACGAGGAGGAGGACCTCATGAAGTCGGCCTTTACCAAGCCGAAGCCCGGCGAGGAGAGCCGCCCCGGTACCCCGTCGTCGGTCTCTATGGACAAGAACGGCGGCTCGGCCCAGGCGAACGGCGGCCAGAAGGACAAGCCTGCCGCCGAGGACAAGTCCGGTGGCGACGCGTCCGGTGCTGGCGTACGTTTCGCTCTTCCTCCATTTGCGCGCGCACGTTGCGGCGGAGCCTGACCTCGTGTCGTGTGCCGTGTGTCGTGCGCACGCACAGTTCTGGGGTCGGCTCGGCGGTCTGGGTCTGTTCAGGAAGAAGCCCACGGGCAAGGAGATGAAGCTGGGCCAGACCGAGAACGAGTTTGTATACAACGAGGAGCTGGGCATCTGGCACGAGAAGGGCAAGCCGCCGCCCAAGGAGGAGCGCGGCCACTCGGCCCCTCCGCCCATCATGGGCGCCGGCCCCTCCGGGTCGGGCTCCCCGTTCCCCTCTGTCGGCGGCTACTCCAGCGGACCTGCTCCCCTCGGTGGTATGACCGCACACGCACACGCACACGACCAACGACACACCCGCGCACACTGCTGAATGCTGACCTTGCGTTGTGTCCGAGCAGGACCCGATGGAGGGAACCAGTTCACGAAGTATGCGTCGCCGGCGCGAGGCAATCGTCGATACGTGGACACCTTCAACCCGGAACCGGCGCCCGGGAGCACGCCCGCCGCGGCGCCCATGAGCGTGCCCACCCCCACGTTGATGATGCCCACGCCCGGCATGCACCCCGCGTCTCCGGCGACGTCGGCGCCCTACACCGTCTTCACGCCCCCCATGAGCCCGTACCAGCCGCAACAGTGACAACATGTACACACACCACAACAACCGCCCCAACGAGAAGGACATAAACCACAAAAGTTCACCCACGCAAACTCGATCTCTGTTCTATTCTGGTCTCACGTGTGCTTGTCACAATCGTCCACTCTTAATTAATGGAGAAATCTCCTCTCCTTCTTCGAAGAGCGGACCCAATGGGCGATGGTAGAGAATGGAATGTTAGGAATGGCATTAACCGACCTCAAAATGTGATTGGTGGGGCTAGTCTCCCGAAAAAGTTTGAAGAACACGGTTTGCATAATGCCGGACCCCCGCACCACAGAAATAACGGGGAAGGGTCTTCTCTTGATCTATCCTGCGGCCTTTTCATACTACACTTCCACGCCACGGCGGGAGAAACCACAAACACCAATTCCTGTTCTTGGGGTCGCCGAAAGCGAGCACTTACACAGAGAACGTACGTGTCGTTGGTTGGTTTTAGTAACGTTTCCGCCAAAGCGGTCACATCCTTCTTACTCCGCTTGCATCTTTGGCAGTATACTCAGGAGTGTTTGGAAAGAGGCCAGGCAAGCCAGCAATTTCAACTTCACACACAATGACGCAGTCTAGCACCATCAAGGTTGGGTCGGGGATGGTGGTCGTCTTGTTGATGCTCGTCTCCTTCGGCATAAACTCCGCCCAAGGCGGTTGCGTGTGTGTTGGGGACTTCACCTCCGGGAACTGCCAAGGCGATCTAGTGGTTGACGGTGCCGAAGACATCGTACGCCCACGGCACCCATCGCCCATCTCCCAACTCCAGGACCCTCCTACTCACTCCCAACCCCCGCATCAGAGTTCGTGCAGCCTCCAGGCCACTGTGGTCTCCATAACGGGAAGCCTGCTCATCCAAGTGCGTCGAGTTGGCCTAGGCCACCGGATTTTTAATTTTTGTTGCCTTCCGATTGGCTGTATTCTTGTACCTGTGATACCTAAAAACTCACCGCGACCTCGATCCATTCTTGCTCTCTGCACAGGCCCCGGATTCGAACCTCACCAGCGTGAACAATGCTTTCAACAGTCTCCTGCGGGTCGCTGGCACCCTGTCCATCGCTGTACGTGCAAACCCCCCCCCAAGGTGAACAAAACGGTTTGTTTTATTAATGTAGCTAACTACTCTATTCTTGCAGAGCCAAGGCCAGCTGCAGTCGGTCGACAACTCGTTCATGGCTGTCCGGTCGGTTGGAGATATGATCGTCGTACTGCCCCCCCCCAACAGCTCAATTATCGAAAATAGTTATTCTGACCTGGCTGGCACCATTTACAGAGCTGGAATCAGCAGCTGGTCACTTTCAATGCCTTTGCGGGCCTTCAGAGCATCAACGACCTCCGCGTCGACGTATGAACTGCAACTGACACCATCACATGCAAGGCTTTGTTGGAAGCCCTGGTGCCAACTACTAACTTGGCCGCATCACGCGTGTACACAGTTCCACCCGTCTGTTGGACAATGGGTGGGGTTCTCGCAGCTGACCACGGCCCGATCGATCGACTTCAACAACAATGGGTTCACGTCGATCACCAACTTCCCCGCGCTCCAGCGAGTCAACGGTACCTTTAGCATCAACGTACGTACTCATGCTCCCACTTTCTTTATATAAATAAATAACTATATTGCTTATGCATACCACAAGTGTGTTATCTAATTTCTTGATTGGATGTAGTATAATGGCAACGTGACGGAGATGGCGAATATGTTGCCATCTTTGACGACGGTTGGCACCCTGCGATTCTCGGGCAACCCGCGCCTGCGCAGCCTCACCGGCATCGGCGCCCTCCGCACGGCCTCCGGCGTCATCCTCTCGGTGCGTTCAACTTCTGGGTTTCGATCGAAACTTATTCTCTCGCGCGCGAGCTTGGTGCTCACCTTGGTCTGCGTTTGTGGTTGCAAACAACAGTCGAGCCGCAACCTCACGACCATCCCTCCGTTTGCCGGTCTCACCGACCTGACCTACGATCTGTCCCTGTCGCGTCTGGGCATCACCTCACTCACCGGCTTCCCGCTCCTCAAGGCCGTACCCAACTTCATGCAGATCGCGGTACTTTTTTCCCACACGCAGCGCGTGACTGCAATCAACAAGGCTCACACGTCAACGTTCTCTGTGCCTGGCTACAGTACAACCAAAACCTCTTCCAGCTCGGCGGCTTCAACTCGCTGGCCTCCATCAGCACCTTCCATCTCGTGGTACCACTGCCCCCCCCCTCTGCTTGCTGCATGTGTCGACACACCAAAAACACACAAGTTGTTCACCTCTCATCACGACCACCACAGGGCAACGCTGTGCTGCGCCAGTTTGCCGATTTCGGGGCCCTCACCAGCGTCACCAGGTTCAGCGCCGCGGTTCGCCCTCCCCCCCTCGCCCCCGCGCTCTCCGGATCTCACCCTCTGGGTCGTCGGATCGTCGTGCAGGACAACTCCGTACTGCGGGACTACCATGGTCTCTGCCAAACCTTCAAGTCGCCCGTCATCGTCAGCCTGGTACCCCCCCACCACAGGTTCTTCTTTTATATAAAAGAAAAAACCACAAAAAAGGCTAATTCTATTTTCATGTTTACATTTATTTTCAGCAACTGCCCGAGACGATAAGACCGACCGGATGCAATGCGACGATCAAGGCGTGGCCGCTGAAGACGGCCTGCGCGGGCCTCTGCAGCTGCCTCCGGTGCTTCCCGCCCTCGCTCGTCTCGGCCCAGTTCCGATCGACCGGGCGGGCGGTCGACGTCACCTTCTCGGCGCCCACCAACCAGGCCGGCCTCTTCTCCACCTCGTGCTCCGCCATCTGGTCCAACGCCTCCGACCTGTTTGGCGCCAGTGCGTTTCCTTCCATCAATCAGTCCCCTTCTAAAGCCAAGCCAGCACTAATCGCACGACACACGACACACACCCCACGACACGCAACAGATGCTGTGTGCTCGTGGCAAACGGATACGAAGATGACAATCTTCTTCCCCGAGGTGCCTCCGCTGCAGCCGGGGCAGAGCATCAGCCTCAACTCGGCCGCGGGTGCCGTGCGGGCCCAGGGCGCGCTCGCCACGGATCCGTTCGCTGTGGGCGCCGTCCAGGTGGCCGCGCCGGTCAATCCCGTCGGCCCTGCTGCGCAGCTCGTAGTACCGGGCGTCAGCTCGTGCTCTCAGTCCATCACCTTCGACGCCTCCGGCAGCCGAGGTACCACCTCCGCCTGCTCATGGCCGCCTTCACTCCCGTCCATCACTAATTGGGTTATTTCCATTTCCATTTTCCAGCGATCGGTAATCCCACCTATGCGTGGTCTTCGCCGGATGGTGCGCTGGCTGGGCTCCTGTCAGGCATCACCACCTCGAGGGCGACGATCAGTCTCGCGTCGCTGCCTAAGGGTACAAACTCCCCCTCGCGCCCGCCTTTCATTTGCGTTGACGAAGCTCACGTGTGTGTGTGTGTGTGTGTGTGTGTGGTCGGTGTTGGTGGTATGCGACGACAGGCGTGGAGTACAGCGTGAGCGTGACGATCGCCGATCCATTCTCGGGTCAGCAGGACTCGCGCACGCAGAACTTTACCATCCCCGAGCGGCCAGTGCCCTTCGTCTCAATCGGCACCGCCCAGCGGCCGATCGTCGCCAGCCAGCCCAACACCATCGCCGCAACGGCCTCCCACCGTACATTCCCCACACGACTCACGCGACACATTGGCAGCGGCCTTTCCTGACATTTCTTGCCTGGGAGCAGCCTGCGCCCAGGCCGGTGATTCGCTGTTGGCCTTCAGCTGGAGCCTGAGCCCCGACGCCGGTCTCGCGGTCAACACGCTGCAGTCGCTCAACCAGCGCGACCTGGTCCTGCCCGCCAACTTCCTTCCCGTCGGCCAGACGTTCTTGGCCACGTACGCCACATTCCTCCTGCTTTCCACTCTTGTCTTCTGGAATGTGGAAGGTCTCATATCGCACATTCCTGGCTGGACATGCCTGTCATACAGGCTCACGGTCTCGCTCTCGAGCGACTCGAGTCTCAACAGCTCGGCCAGCGTGCAGCTGGTGGTGCAGTCCCAGTCGATCGTGGCCGACTTGGGCGGCTCGCTGCGCATGATCCCCTACACGTCCCACACAACGCTCGTCGCCAAGGTGCTCTCGGGCGGCGGCGGCCCGGCGGCCTACGCCTACAACTGGTCGTGCGCCATGGCCGACGCCACCGCCGGCGAGTGCCCGATCGCGGCCTATCTTGCCGCGCAGTCCGGCGGCGCAGTGACCATCGAGTCGCCGCTGCTCGAGGCCGGCGTGCCTGTGTTCGTGACCGTCACCATCTCCCAGCCCGGTACTCCCCACCGCCCATTAAAAACTGTGCTGGCGTCATGCTGACGTGGCTCTGGCTCCTCCCTGGATCAGACGCCCAGCAGAGCGGCAGCGCAACCACGGCCATCGTCCGCGCGTCGACGGAAATCCCGGTGGTCACGCTGGCGGCGCCAGCGCGGGTCAACGTCAACCAGCCCAACGCCGTCACCAGCCAGGTCAACTCGACATCGAGCGCCCTGACCTACAAGTGGGCGCTGCTGCAGGGTCCGCCCGGGTTCGCGCTCAACGCCTCCACGCTGGCCAGCGCGGCCACGCTCGACACGGCCAACCTGGTCGTACGCCGCGGCGCCCTGGCCGTCGGCCTCCAGTACACCGTGCAGCTGACCGTGACCGACGAGAACGGATTCATCGGTACGTGCGTGTGCGGTCGGGCGTGTGCGCTCGAAGCTGACGTGTGCGTGTGTTGTTTCATTTTCCAGGAGTTGCACAGGCGACAATGACCACCAACATTCCGCCGGTCGAGGGTAGCTTCACCAGCGCGCCCGCATCCGGCTTGGCAGCGACTACCCCCTTCGCGCTCCAATTCGCCGGCTGGCTCGACCTGGACAGCCCGACCCTGATCTACCCGCTGGCCTACAAGGTGTGGTACCAGCAGGCCGATGCCGCGGTGATCCTCTACGCCGGCGCCAGCCCGCACGTCGTCACCACGCTCCCGATGGGCGACGCCGCCAACGGCTACGCGCTGACCCTCTACGCCTCGGTCACCGACAGTACGCGCTCGCCATCTGATGTTCAACACATGTTCGCTTGCTCATGACATGACACACGCACACAACAGGTGACGGCGCTGAGACGAGGACGAGCATCGACGTGGTGGTGATGGCGCCGCCGGTGAGCTTCAACCTCACGACCGAGGCGATCGGCCAGGCCGTGTCCGAGTCGCAGACCTCGGCCGACGCGCAGGCCTTCCTGGGCTCTGTGGCCAGCCTGCTGGGCGATAGCCGCAGTAAGCGCTCGGCCGACGAGCTCAGGCTCCTGGGTGACGCACTGGTGGCCCAGGCCATCGGCACCGGCCAGCGCCAGGACCTCACGCCCGGTGGTCTCTCGCGCACCACCTCCCTCTACTCGCTGCTCACCCAGCTCAGTACGCACCACCCGTCTTGTGTGAGGAATGTGGGTAAATGGGCTCACACCCAACGCGCGCTTCGCATTCCTTCGTGTGTGTCGCAATGCAGACTTGAGCGAGGAGGCGAGCCTGCAGGCCCTGAACGCCACGCAGGAGATGACCCGCCGCACACAGGAGCTGGGTGCCTCCGACGAGGACCTGATGGCCTCCGTCGTCGGCGTGCTCAGCAACCTCCTGGTCAAGGCCGAGTCGCTCCGCCGCGACAATAACGTACGCGCCTGCTCCCTGCCGTTAGTCATTTTGTTATCGCAGTCGACTGATTGACTGGCCCGACCACCCTACAGTCCACGCTCCCGGTCAACTACGGCCTCGTGGCGCCCGAGGTACTGGGTCCGGCGGCGACGGTGGAGCTGAGCAAGGCCGTGTGCGGCCAGGACCTCGACCCCTACTCTGCGTCGTCCATGTCCCTCTCCCTCTTCACCGGTACGTCGTAGACTTCCCGCTCCTGCGACGCACCGGGCTGGGCTGACGTTGTGGAATTTCTTTTCCCTCAGGCTGCTGCGAGCGAAGCGTGCTGGCGGGCGCGGTCGAAGCCGACGGCGCGCGGGCCGTGTTCAAGGTCCCGTCGTCGCTCAACGCGCAGGCGGGATTGTGCGCCGACTTCTTCATGACTGCCTACGCGCGGTCGCCCTTCCCGCGTGCCGACGTGCCCACCGCCCTGAACGAGAAGAAGAAGCAGCTGGGCTCGCAGGTCTACGGCCTGGTCGCCCTCAACGCCAACGGCACCGCCGTGCCCGTGGCCAACCTCTCCCAGGAGATCGTGATCTCGCTGCCCGTGCTCGACACGGCCCAGTACTCGGGCGACAGCTCCGACTATGAGTGTACGTTCCAGAATGGCTTTGCATTCCCTCCTTCGCTGGTGGACGTCCGCGTGCCTGACATTCACTGGCACATTCCGGATACAGACGCCTGTGCATTCCTGGACACGGAGGTCGAGGGCGCCGAGTGGAGTGGGCGCGGCTGTCGCTTCCTCGATGCCGACACGACCGACGCCACGGGCCGCATCGTGGTCCGCTGCGCCTGCAACCATCTCACCGACTTTGGCCTCCTGATGCGCGCGAAGCCGGGCTCGTCGGACGACGTGGCCCTGCCGGTGGCCGTCGCCGTGAGCGTGGCTGTGGCGGTCTGCGTGGTGCTGGTCGTGGCCGTGATCGTCGTCGTGCTGGCCGTGCGCCGGCGCCGACGCATGAACCGGGAGTTGAGCTCGCTGGCGTCTGCGGTCAACGTCGACGGCTACGATCTGTACGACTCGGACCCCGACGAGCGACTCTAGATCTCTCCTTCTTCTTCTTCTTCTTCTTCTCCTTTAGCAACACATATTGTGCTTCATCTTCAAATGCAATTATATTTATGTAATTCAATTCTGCCATAAAAATAGGTAAATATATTATTAATATATCTTTTTATTTTGAGGAAGATGAAGAGAGGATTGGAGGCGCTGGACGAGTCGAAGTTCTTCGTCGATCTGGGGGATGACGGCTCGGGGCAAGGAGTGCCGCCACCAAACACGATGCTCTACTTGAGGTTACGGAGGGTCTCTAATTCATCGCGGCAGATGAATTGAAATCGCGATTACGTCGCGATTGGTGGCGATGGGGGGCGATTCCGAGATGAAAGTCGATGCCGGCCCTCCCCCCGAGGAATCGCACGAATGGGTCGATACATTGGTCCGCCCCCATTCACTTGGGTTTTTTGGGGTTTGTTGGGTCCAGATGGCCACAACTGTCTCCAAATCATATGACGATTTCGGGTTTTTGTGGGCTTGTTAACATCATCTTTCATTGACCACCCTTTGAGACAACAATGCGAACGGACGACATGTTTAATCTTCAAAATCGAGGGCCTGATTGGCAAAGATTTTATCCATTTGATACGCTTCGCCCACCCTCTCCCACGTGAAGCAGGCTCGCCGAAATTTGCTGGGTACTGCTTCACGTGTTGAGCAATAAAGAAAACCACTTTTCCCTGGCGAAAAACTAAAAGAATACTATCGGCCGAAAAAAAAAAGATGTAGCGGACGAGGAAGCAAGAGATCAATTTCGCAGGTGTGGGCCAGTCCACACCCGAGCGCACCAACGTGCTCGTTAAGCCAAAGTTGGTTGCGGCCACGTCAGCCGTTCCACTGGTATCCCTAGCAATCCTTCTAGCAATCACGATCGCGATCACTTGTATGCGCCTCGCCCCGCAGAAGAAACCCATCTACAATGGAAAAAAGAGAATGTACCTGAGAAACCCCTACTTGAACACACACACAATAAATAAAAAAGACCACCCCACTCAAACCCCACCCTACCCACCTCCCAACACGCACACAACTTCAACCTGCCACATGAAGATGCAACACAGGTTTCACCTACAAATATACTCTTAAAAATACCTTCCTTTTCTGTACAACACACCACAACCAAATTAAGCCACAACCCAACAAGGACAATCTTCATCTTTCCCCACTGCATGGACAGACCCAACAAACAGATGAAACACACCATGAACCAGATCTATGATGAGGTAGATGAGCAAGGACAATCACAATCAAGAAATGACCCCCACTGATCAGACCTACCTCATCATCAGCAAGCTCCTGAGAAGCAAGGTGAACAAAATGGACCAGAAGCTGAAGAAGATGGGAGTCATGTATGACCTACACCAATTCATCCATTCCAATGCAACACAGACCCTCTACATTGAAATTGACCTTCTAAAGCTGGACAGAACTGAGAAACATGTCAGTGAGTTCCTTGGCTAAGGCAGGGTCTCCATGGGACCAATGCCAGAGATTGGACCTGAGGAAGAAGGGGAAGAAGGAATGACTGGGAAGAACCTATCTCTTACCCTATGCCTCCCCAAGGACCATAAGAAGGTGGTTGAAAAAAATGAGGTGATTAAGGTGGTTGCCAAGAAGGGGATAGAGCTAGCCAGTGAGGAATTTGACTTCAGGTTCTACTCAACAGCAACCTACCAGCTAACCCTCAGAGACCAGGAGAAGGTGGACAAACTGCAACTCCAGTGTGACTTCATCATCCACAGTGTTGACATCTGCATCCAACCATGGTGGCAGTACCTGAATGCCCAGCTCTACTTGGTTGTCATCTCAAACTACATGAGGATCAAGAGATCAGACATCGCCCACATCATCAAGAAGTACATGGCAGCCCTTCATCAATGTAACTCACCTCAAGAACAAGGACACCCTCAGGAAACCAGTGAGCATCTTTGGATTCCTCCTACCAGAACACCAACAAAAGGCCCTCACCCTCAACAGTACCAGACCACCACACCAAACAGAAGCAAAAAACCACCTCACTAATGACCCTGATCAAACACAGGTAAGAAGAAGAGCATGGGAAGAAACAATGAGCTGCTCAGGGTCATCCTGTCCCTCTCAGAGGAAGAGAGAGCTAAGCACCACAAGGAGAGACAGGCCGCCAACACTGCAAGAGCCCAGACCAAGAAGACTGCAGCCCAGCACAGACAGGATCTCCTCTGTGAGAGAGAAGCCCTCTATGAGGCTGACCACAACACACCACCAGTCTCCCTCCGGTCGGTCACCCAAAAGTGGGGTAGGGCCTTGGCCCGCCTGTGGGTGGGGTGGTGGTGGTGGTGTTGGTGGTGGTGGTGGTGGTGGTGGTGGTGGTGGTGGTGGTGGTGGTGGTGGTGGTGGTGGTGGTGGTGATCGACCCTGCGGCCGGCTATTCAGCGGCCATCACATATGGTGATGACGGATCTCATTCCCGACCTGGGCGCAGGGGCGGGGACTGGTGCAGTTTCAGGGCCTATGGATTGGTGGGAGGTGATGAGGGCCGAGATGAAGATGATGTTCCAAGGGGTGTCTAAGGCGATCAGCGGTCTGCGGGCGGAGCTGGTGGCCTCGCAGAAGGGTAAGGAGAAAGTGAGTTTTGAAGAGACAGCAGACGTGGAGGCGGCGGGCGTCAAGGTGCTGGAGATGATGTCTTCAATGCCAGGCGACAACTCATTTCTTAGCAAGACAGCAGTCTCCCCAAGCCCAGCTTCACCGTCAGTTTGGCAAGTATGACCTCAGGTTTGAGTGACGCAACGGCAGCTAAAGCGGCGGAGACTACATCGTCAGCAGCGGTGGTGGCCGCGGTGTCAACATACCCATCGGCCTGGTCGACCTACATGACGCTGGCTGAGAAGATGAACAAGTCCATGCTAGTCAAGATCCTGGGGTTTGTTCACTTGCCTGTATGGCCTATCCTGGTATTCACTGGTGCTGAAGGTGAAGATGTCCATCTCTGGATTTTGAAGGCCAAACTATGCAGTGTGCAGTTGGGGTGGAATGAGATGACCCTCCTAGCCCAAACTATAGCTGCCCTGGAGGGTGTGGCATTGGTGTGGCTTCACACTGCACCCCCTGAGGTCAAGTTCCAGTTTGTGTGGTTCGAGGAGGAGCTGCAGTGGTGATGTTGTTGAAGGCTTCCAGCACATCAGGGAAGCTTGCTTGTTGGCCACTATGCATAGCTGAAGAATGCCCTTGAACATTTTGAATGTGTTGTGTTGTTGTTGAACCAGCACCTTCTCCTCCTTCAAGAGACCAATGTTGGAGGACTTCAGGAAGGAGACGCCCACTGCCATGGATACACCAGACACACTCTTGTGGATGGCCTTGTACCGCTCCCACACACCCAGATCAAGGGGAGAGTGGCTCAAGACAGGGGTTGAGGTCCATGGCGCTGACATTGGAAATGGGGTGGGGGTGATGGGCTTGGGATACACCAAATTTGGAGTGATAGGGATGGGTACCATGGGTGGCAGGGCAATTGGCTGGGCTGGCGCAATTGGAGGGGTCAGGGCAGTTGACTGGGCTGGCATGATCAGTAGTGCTGCAGCAGACAATGATGGCAACAACAACAACAGTGATGATGGTGACAATGATGATGACAACAGTGGGGAAGGACCTTGAGAGAGGGGGGAGTGGGGTGTGGTGGAGGAGGTCTCTGAACCCTTGGTGGTCGACCCCAGGGTTTTACAAGCATCTTTTCACTCAAGAATCTTGAGAATCATCTCACACATCTCTGCCTTGAAGTCATCCAACTCAGCACAGGAAATGGCCACAGTCCCTTGCACAAACAGCTAACCAGGAAATCCTTGTCCAGCAGGCCCGCCCAATTGTGCAGGAGCAGGAGACAGAAATAGTAAGGGCACACCTGTTCACCTTTCTCCTGACAGCATGCACCATAGTCCTTGAGGAGCTCCACCTGGGTGAATGGAGAGAAGCTCTGCTGCAGCACTTGTGGGGTATGCACACACAGCTCCATGCACATAACCACATGTGGATGAAGAAGGTGCTTCAGCAGAGGCAGTACCCACCTCACCTCCAGCCAGCACTGGGCCAAGCACACCCATTGTGGGTGCCTTCCACCAGTGCAGCCACTCCTGCAGGAGGGTGGGTGGGGTGCCACTGGTGGCTGTGCTGGTGGAAGGCACCCCACCCACCCTCCTGCATTGGATACATCTGGGCGTACCACTGCCAATCTGGCAGCTCCCAGCCCTCCACACTCTTCAGAACCACCACCTGTAGCCAGACCAGGAGGAGTTTGTCAAGAATGAGATCAGCTGTCTGGTGCAGGAGCAAGCCCTTCAAGAGCTCCTGCCCCACAAGCAAGCCTTCCTCTCTCCCATTGGGGTTGTCCCAAAGAAGAATGGGAAGCACAGGCTCATCATCAACATGAAGCTTCTGAACTGCTACATCCAGCTGCCAAAGTTCAAGTTCAGTGGCCTACACAAGCTGGCGCCCCTCCTCCAGGCAGGCGACTGGCTGATCACACTGGATTTTTGAGATGGCTTCCACCATGTCAAGGTGCTGCCCAAGCACCAGTTCCTCCTCAGCCTGCAGTGGCGCCACCATTAATACACATTCCAGGCATGTCCATTCAGCCTCAACACCTCTCCCTGGATCTTCACCCACTTTGTGAAGACCACCACAAACATCCTCACATAAAAAGGCATTTGCTGCCTCACATACATGGATGACATCATTGTGATGGCACACAGCCAGGAGGAGGCTCTCCAAGCCCACAACACAACCCTCTCCACCCTAGCCAACCTCAGCTGGGTGGTCAACTGGGACAAGTCTTCACTCAAGCCCAGTCAAGCAAAAGAGTTCCTGGGCCTCATCATCAACACCACTTCAGAGCCACAGTTCCAGGTACCAGCAGCAAAGTCCCACGCCCTACGCCATGACATCACACACCTGCTACTCCACTTCCACAAGCACCACCAAGTCCCAGTTCAGCAAGCCATGGCAGTGGCAGGCCACTGTGTGTCACTGGCCAGAGCAGTCCTCCCTGCACAACTACTCCTGCACAACCTCTTCTGCAACATCAGCAAACAGAACAACTGGGACAGCCAGATCCAACTGACACCAGCTGTGGTCTGCGATCTCAAGGAGTGGTCAATCAGCCTCACCAAGTGGGATGGCAGGGTGGCAACACTGCATCCATTTGATGAAGTTCTTGACACCAATGCCTCCCTTGGTGGCTGGGGCGCAGCCCTGAAGGGCTTGAGCACTACTTCCATGGGCTGGTGGAAGCAGCTGGGCCATCACATCAACAAGCTGGAGCTCAAGGCAGTCCACCATGCCATCAAGTCCCTCCTTCCCCTCCTCAAAGGGTCCTTCTCTGGTGTGACAATGTGACTGCTGTCATGTACATCAAACACCTGGGCAGCCACAGCAAGGTGATGAACCACATGATGTGCAAGATCTTCAACCTGTGTGAGCATCATGGCATCCACCTGTTGGCCATCCACCTCCTGGGCGTGGAGAACAACTGTGCTGACTACCTCAGCTACCCCCAGCATGAGTGGGCCATTGCTTGCCACCTGTTCCACTCATCAACAAGAAGTGGGGTCCCCATATGATTGACTGTATGGCCATGGCAGCAAACTCATGTCTTCCCCACTTCAACAGCTGCTTCTGGGAGGCAGGCTTGGAGGCAGTTGATGCCACTGCCCAGGACTGGTGTGGTGAGAACAACTGGGTAGTTCCCCCTATTGCCCTCATCCCTTGGGTCCTATGCCTCCTCCTCTGGCAGAAAGCATGTGCCACAATCATTGTGCCAGTGTGGACTGGGAAGCAATGATTCTGCGACCTCCTTTGCCTCTCCACCATGCTGCTGATCATGATCTCCAACACCCTGAACTCCTTTGAATGGCAGGGGGACCAACTCCCAGAACCCCTGTGCAACCTGTGCTGGTGCTGGGCAGCCTTCAGGATTTGTGGCAACTGTTGGTGGGTGATGTCAATGTGTGCCCCCTCATATGGATGATGACATATGATGGATGGTGGAGTGGGTGGATGAGGAGCTCACTGTTGAGGAGGTTGCATTGCTGACTGTGCTCCTCACTGAGAACTGTGATGTCTTCACACTGTTGCTCCTGTGCCTGGGCCAGGCCAACCATGCACCCCATGAGATTGACTTGCAGGGCCACCAGCCTGTCAAGTGTCACCTGTGTCAAGTGTTGCTGAAGGAGATGGTGGTTCAGTCCACTGAGATATCCAAGATGCTTGAGGCTGGAGTGGTGCGGCTGTTGAAGGGGCCATGGGTGTTGCTGGTGGTGCTGGTCACAAAGAAGGATGGCTTGACTAGGTTCTGTATTGACTATTGGGCTCTCAACTGCATGACCAAGAAGGATAGCTACCTGCTGCCCCAGGTGGATGTGATCCTGGACATGCTTTTGAAGTTGGTGTGGCGGTCACCCTTGACCTGGTCAGTGGCTACTGGCAGATACCAGTCCAGGAGGAAGACATCAAGAAGACTGCATTCACAATGCAGCATGGGATGTACAAGTTCATGGTGATGCCATTTGGGCTCACCAACATGCTGGCCAGTTTCCAGTGGGATATGGATGTTGTGCTGTCTGGGCTGAACTGGGTGTTGACTCTGGTCTACATCAATGATATCATTGTGTTCTCCAGGACTTTTGAGGACCAGATGCACCTTCAGGAGGTGTTCCAACAGCTGCAGGCAGCAACCATGTACATGAAGCCCAGCAAGTGCAATTTCTGCCAGCATGAGCTGCTGTTCCTAGGGCACATCATGCATAAGGACAGTATCATGGCCAACCCTGAGAAGCTACATGCCATCCAGGTGATGACAAGGCCTGCTAACATCACACTTCATGTGGGTGGTGGCGTGTGACAGGGCGTTCAATCAGCTGAAGAAGCAGCTTATGTCACCCCAGTGCTGGTGTTCCCCAACTTTGAGCAGCCATTCTACCTGCACACTGAGTTCTTCATTGTCACTGACCATGTGGCGCTGAAGTGGCTCATGAATGCCCAGGAGCTGAGGGGCCAGCTGGCATGGTGGTCCATGAAGCTGCAGCCATACAAGTTCAAAGTGGTGTATCATGTGGGCACACTGCCAATGCCAACACCATTACCCATCCTCCAGTACTTCACATGGAGGAGACCAACATGGTGTGCATTGCCTTGAGTGGTCCCAACCAGCCAGGCATGCAGCCATTGCAGGATGTGAGTTTGTGTGGCTTGTGGCAACAGACCCCTACAGCAACCAAGTGAGGAGCACCTGATTGGCCAATGGATGAGGACTGGGAGAACAACTGGCCACCATCAGAAGACTGGATGGCGCTGAATCAACAAGATGGCAGGAAGCACAACTAGGGCACAGGTCAGTTCAGGACCAACAGCCATCAGGGTGCCACCTGGTATTGACTCCCTCCTGGTCCAACTCCAGTGGGAGCAGTGCACCAACAAGTTCATGGGTGCCATCATCCAGTTTTTGAGGACAACAAACTCCCTGGGACATCCAGACCACACAGTGGGTCAAAATCAAGGCAGAGCAGTGTGAGATGGTCAATGGAGTGCTCCATCACCACATCTGGCCACAACAGGGAGTGGAGTTCACTAGGACAATGACCAAAATAGCAATCCTGGCTGCCCTGGTGGAGACAATTCTACATGCACATCATGACAACTTGCTTGGCAGTCACCGCAGTCAGAATCAGATGTGTGAGACAATCTGCCAGAAGTACTGGTGGCTGAGGATGCTCAAGCAGATCACAGAGTGGGTCACTGCCAGGAGAAGAAAGGCCCATGTTCAGGCAAGACAGGACTCCTTCAGCTGTTGCTGGTGGTGTCCTGACCATTTGAGAGGGTGGGCATGGACCTGATGGGGCCATTCAGCCCCACCAACACCAGGAACCAATGGATCTGCATCATTGTTGACTACCTGATGAAGTGGCCAATTGCTGTTGCCCTGCCAGACAAGCACGCCAAGACTGTGGCAAGGGCATTAAAGAGAAAAAGGACAACTTTCCGGGGCTGTTAACTATTTATTTATTTTTCTGAAGGAAAATAAATAGTTAAAACAATTGTGGAAGCGTTCCATCGACGAGACGTAACTCATTTACTCTTGAGTAAATTTATTTATTTATTTTTATTATTTATTCGGCCATTTTATCGCTGCACATGCACATGCCCCTGCCGTTCATGGGCATCTTGACCTAAACACTATATTCATTTTTATGTACACACCCCCTCTTTTTATACACATAAATGGATGCGCTCTCCTCTCGTGCTACTTACTACTCGTTGAGGGTCTCCTCCATCGCCTGGAGTCCCCCATTGCATCCCCGCTTCAGTTGCTTGAAGGCGGCCTTAGTCTTTTTCAGCTTCTTCTCGAGCGCACCTGCCTTGTGCTGGAGGTCCGTGCAATCTTGGACTGTCCTCTCAAGCCCTTCTCGCAGTCCCTCAGTTTCCTTCTTGAGCCTTTCGGCCTTCTTCTCGAGGGTTTCGTTCTCGTTCTCGAGCCCCTCGACCTTCTTCTCGAGCCCCTCGACCTTCTTCTCGAGCCCTTCGACCTTCCTCTTGAGGGTTACGTTCTCGTTCTCGAGCCCTTTGACCCTCTTCTCGAGCCCTTCGCCCTTCCTCTTGAGGGTTACGTTCTCGTTCTCGAGCCCCTCGACCTTCCTCTTGAGGGTTACGTTCTCGTTCTCGAGCGCATTTACCTTTCTCTGGATGTTCTGGCGGCCTTGGGTCTCCTCGTTCAGTTTCTCCTGTAGGGCCTTCATCTGCTTTTCGATGGCCGCCAAACGGTTCCCCACCACGCTGTCGGCTGTGGAATCAATCCAAGAGATGAGATGTCAGGCCAGTAGGGAAGAGAGAGAGGAAATGGGGGGGGGGAAAAGCAAATCAACTCACGAACCAGTGGTTTCGATGAGCGGGCTAATCTTGAGACCCAAGACAGGCGATTCACTTAGGCCAGGGGGACACCATTTCCTCCAAAAGTCTCCCGCCGCCGCGTACATGCGGGTAGGAGGCTCCTCGACGTCGGATGGTGTCATGAGCACGTGATCGAGGGCCACGGGCTCGCCAAACTGGAAGAGCTTCTTCTCGGAAACTGAGACATCCATCTTCCTTGCTCGTCCCTCGTCTCTACCGCGGCTCGCTCGCGTCAGCTTGAGTTCAGCCCTGTGTGCGTGGCGTTGTGAAGATGCAAAAGGCGCGAAGCCCGGACCCGGTTTTCAAAAGAAAACAAACCCTGGCATTTCCGCTATCCAAGGAATTCATAGCTAAGCATTAAAAAAAATTGAAAATTAGGTCTGCGTGGTGCTGGTCGTGGCCGTGATCGTCGTCGTGCTGGCCGTGCGCCGGCGCCGACGCATGAACCAGGAGTTGAGCTCGCTGGCGTCCGCGGTCCACGTCGACGGCTACGATCTGTACGACTCGGACCCCGACGAGCGACTCTAGACCTCTTCTTCTTCTTTATTGACACATATTGAGCTTCATCTTCAAATGCAATTTATTTATTTTAATTCCATAAAATAGGAATTATCTTTTGTTTTGTGAAGATGAAGAGAGGTTTGGAGGCGCTGGATGAGTCAAAGTTCTTCGTTGATCTGGGGAATGACGGCTCGAGGCAAGGAGTGCCGCCGCCACCAAACACGATGCTCTACTTGGGCGAGGTTACGGAGGGTCTCGAATTCATCGCGGCAGATGAATTGAAATCGCGATTACGTCGCGATTGGGTGGCGATGGGGGGCGATTCCGAGATGAAAGTCGATGCCGGCCCTCCCCCCGAGGAATCGCACGAATGGGTCGATACATTGGTCCGCTATCAAGAGGGCAGCGGCCTCATCTTCTTCCATCTCCCCACTTGCGAGGCGATCTCGGCCATTCGGGCGCGAACCGCGTTCCTGGGCGGGCTGCTCACCGTGGAGACCGTCTTCGTCTTCCTGGACCACATCGTAGGCCTCCCGCAGGACGAATCGGGCCTCGACGCCATCGAACACCACGTACGCGACCGCCTTGACGCGGCCAAGTGGGACCAGGCCCTGCACGTGTGGACGCGCCACTTTCGAGAGCTGGGCCGGGCCACCAGCAGCACCAGCACAGATGAAGCCGATATAGTCGATCATGCAGAGGCGGCGGCCGACGCCGATACGACGGCGCTCTCGAGCTCGACTTCGTTTGCGCCGCAGTTCCGCTGCTCGTGCCGACGCCGGGGCGAACAGATGTGGCAATCCCACGCCGTCGCGGGGTACGACGTACCATCATCAACATCGTCATTGTACTCTTTCGTTTTACACGCGATCGCGATTGGCCTGACCTTGCTTGGCCTTGGGCTGTGACACAGAGCGGTTGGCGCTGGGATGGTGGACCGATTCCCCAACTGGAAGGTCTCCCTCAAGACCTACGAACTCGAGGTCTACGTCAACGTCATCAAAGCGGACATGATCCTTGGCGTCTCCCTTTCACACCGCCCTACAGTACTCCCGCTCTTTCCTTGTGCCGTGCGTGTGCTGTGGTGTGTGTGTGTGCCGCGCGCGCGCTCCCACGACTGATGACTGACGACCCATCCAACGCGTCCCAGGACGGCAATTCGAATTATGCGGGTCATCCCGGCGGCCGCAAGAAGCGGCGCAGGCAAAAGGGTTTCGTCACCTTGTTGGGCAAAACGGCCCTCTCGCCCACCATCGCCAACTCACTCATCCTGCTCGCTGACATCAAGCCCGGCCAAGTGGTGCTGGGTAACTTGCTCCCACAACACGCGAGCCGTGTCGTTGGTCGTGTGCGTCGTGTGTGTCGTGTGCCGTGTGCCGTGTGTGTCGTGTGTCTTACGTGTGACGCGCAGACCCGTTCTGTGGGGTGGGTACCCTGCCCATCCACGCGGCGGCGATTGAACCGGGGGCGATCGTCATCGGCGCGGATCGTGCCAAGTCGGAAGTGAACAAGACAGTCAACAACCTGCAGCTCTACAATGTACGCGCCTTGCTTTCATTTCCGCTGTTGGCCACACACACACACACACACACACACACAACACTCAATGCTTGCTACGCGTGCGTGTGACAGGAGCGAGTCGCCCCGCGGTGTCCCTGGGTCGACATTGTACAATGGGACGTGCGGCGATTGCCGATCCGTTCGTCGTTCGTCGACGTGGTCATCTCCGATCTCCCCTTCGGCGTTCGCTCCGGCTCCACCAAAGTACACTGCACCGCTTGCCATCTATGATGCGTTGCGTGCCCTCACTGATCTAATGATTTTTTATTTTATTTTTTATTTTTTAATATTCCTATTATTGTTTCATTTGGTTCGAACCAAACAGAGCAATCATGTCCTCTATCCATTGGCTCTGAAGGAACTGGCACGCGTCACCAAGTTGCAGGGGTACGCCAATCGTTGCTTGCTTCGTGTCGTTGGTCGTGTCGTGTTGTCGTGTCGTGTTGTCGTGTCGTGTCGTGTCGCGTGTGCTGACTGGTGGCGGGATGTAGGAAAGCGCTGCTGATTACGGCGGACGATGACTTGATGACGAACGTGGTGGCCAAGGCCACGCACCTGTGGCGAACAGTCCAGACCCACAGCGTACGTGCCCCTTCCTCCTCCTTTCTGGTGCTTTGCTTTACTCGCTTTCCAACCGCCACCATCCGCTGCGCAGTTCTTGATGGGCCTCAACGAGATGCGAATAACACTGTACGTTCTCGAGAGGTGCGATTCGACCGAGCCTCCGGCCCAATAAACAGGCCCTTCATTGACACACAACACGACCCACGACCCACGGGGAATGCGGAGAATGTGGATGGACCTGGTTTGGAATGTCGTGGTTACCAGGTAACTCTATGTTATTTTTTAGTATTTTGTCTCACGAAACACCCCCACAAAAGATTAGCGAGAAAGAAGGAGAAGAGAAATTGCAGATGTTGTCGGTTGGTGAGCTCCCGACGGTGATGCGAGTGCTGAAGGACTGGCGCAAGGTCCACTACAAGGACGACCCCATGAAGGAACAGCTCTACCGCGAGGAGTTCATGAAGAACAAGAACGATCTGGTCCACCCCAACATGTTCGACTACCTCAGGGACGAGCGCGCCTGGCGCAACGACGACGCCGAGCACCAGAAACACATCAAGCGCGGCCCCTCTTCTTCATCTTCGTCTTCTACATCGTCTTCAGCCGCCGCCGCTAATAACAACTTGAATCGGCCCACCAACAACATCGTCACCAGCAAGAACGACGGCGTCTACAGCGTGGTCGGGGAGGTGATGGTGGCCGAGTCGCCAGACTTTGTGGGCCAGGACACCGGCGCGCCGGGCGACAAGGCCGCGCCCGTGGGCGACAAGCGGCAGCCGCCGGGCCAGAGCGGCCTGCGACTCGGGGCCGGAGGGGGCGGTGCGGGCGATGAGGGCCGAGGCCACGCGCCAGCCGCGGCCCAGAAGAAGGAGGGCCTCCAGTTTGCCAAGGAGGAGGTGGTGATGGCGGCCGGGCGGCCCAGCCCCAGCCCCAGCCCCAGCCCCAGCCTGACCCCCTCACCCCCAGCGGCCGGCGCGTCCGGGCAGCTGCCCAAGAGCGCCGGCCCGCAGCCAAGCGCTGCGGCGGCTGGCAAGTCGTTCTTGTCCGCCGCCATTAGCCAGTGGGAGACGGCGCTGGCCGTCGGGATCTACGTCTGCTGCACCACCACTACCGGGGCCAAGGTCCCGCCGCTGCGGGTTCGCGTGCCAGAAGGTTCTCGCCACCATTCTCATTCGTTCTTCTGCTTCTTCGTTCTTACACGACGAGTGGGCAGGGGCCACGGTGGAGCGGGTGCTGAAGGAGGTGCGGCGGAAGGCGAGCGAGGTGGGTATGCCCTTCAACATGGACCCGCAGGCCTACAGCCTGCGCATCGCCGAAGACGACGGCACGCCGGACTACGACACCCCGCGTACGGCCACCCCTGCTGTTGCAATGTATATTTTCTTATATGTAGACTATATGTTATATATGTTGGGAAATGACGCTCACCTGCAACCTCGTTGCAATGCAGAGCTCAATGCCGATGTTGAGGTGAAACGCTTCCCGCAGCTGCGGTTTTGCATGGTGGACTCGCCGCTCTTCGTCAAGTCCGTGGCCAGCACCAGCACCAGCGCCGTGACCAGCATCAGCTCGCCGCGCCTCCTCCGCGTCGCCATGGGCGCCGACCAGTTCCAGGTGCCTGGAACAGCCCACGCATTCCTCCTGTTCCAGTTGCTGACGTAGGCAACACACACGCACCACCTCACGCCTGCGACTGCTCACGCACACGCACACGCACACGCACACGCACAGACCTTTGAGAAGGGCAAGGACCTGAAGTTGAAGGACATACTGTGGCGCGTGTGCACCAAGTCATCGATGGACTACACCCAGCACGCGCTCCACCTCATCAACTCGGACGAGCCGCTGCCGCTTGACATGCCGGCGGCCGACGTGCCGGGCGACATGCTCACCCTGGTCAAGAAGGAGCGGGCCTCCAAGTACCGCGGCTCGCGCTCGTCGAGCAGCCTCGTCCGCAGCTCCGCCAAAGCCCGGCCCGGCCCCCTGTCCAGCGGCAAGAAGGTAAGTGTGGGTGTGCGGTCGCGTGTGTGCGGTGTGTGCGGTGTGTGCGATCGGCTGAACGCGGCGGAATTGAATGGCCAGATACCGACCCTGTTCCGGTCGCAAGTCAACATGCTCGACTCGAAGGAGCCCAGCGATGACGACGAGGAGGAAGACGAGTCGCGGGACACGCCCTTCGGCAAGCCCTCCTTCACCTTCTGGAACAAGGAGAAGGCCTTCCGGCTCAAGGTGCTTGGGCCTCAGCCCTCCCGAACAACACGAAAGCCAGTGTTGGCGTGTAGCGCCACTAAAAACGTAAACTGTGTTGTGGGGATGGTGCAGAGATACGAGGTGACGAAGATGACCAAGTTCAACATCAAACAGGAGCGGGTGCTGGGCATCGATCGCGATAGGATCACCAACGCATCCAAGAGGAAGAGCGGCGAACCCAGCGGAAGCGTACGCCCGCTTTTTTTGTTGGTTGGTTGGACCATTTCTGTTCTTCATGGCTCATCATCTTCTATGTTTGCTATTGGCATGTAGCAACCTACGTGGAAGTTGATCAAGAACGTGGTGGAGGCCAAGGTGTCCGAAACCAAGTCCTCCCAGTTCACGCTCACATTCGAGGAGGAGGGCAAGGAGAACGTCACCCACACCTTCGAAGCTCTCAACCCTCAAGAAGCCTGTACGCTCTTCTTCTTCTTCTGTGCTTCTCTTGTTGCTGTTGTTGGCACTGAACCACTTCCCTATGATGCTTCATGATGGTGCAGGTGAGATTGTGGAGAAGATCAAGTGTTGTAAAAACAGCATGTGAGCACATAACACATGCTCAATTTGAAGTTTCGTAATGTCTGGCCCAAGCAGCTTGGTGGCGGCCAGTCGCCTACCGCGGATGGATGCCATAAGCAACATACCAGCGTCTGGTGGGCTTGGGGTGTGCATTATTAGCTCGTCCGCCATGATCTCAGCCACATTGAATCTGTCGCCCTTTATCTGTATTGGCGCCAAAACTTTTTGGAGCACCTTCTCGAATCAATGGCGAGCAATGTGGCTTAGGGGTCGAGTATGTGCATATGTTATATTTATATAGATGTGTGGGGATGTATGTGCATGAGGCTCAGAAGGGGAAGCTGCCAATCTGGAAGCTCCCCGGCGCGCTGCCGCCCACGCCGCTCCCGAACGGCTGTTCGTCGCCGAGGCTCCCCTTCTGACGCACGGGCGGCACGAGCACGACCTCGTCGAGCTCGGCCCCGATGAGGTGGTCGCTGATCTTGGCCGTCGCAAAGTCGGCCGGGAGGTAGTTGTTCGAACACAGCTCCTGCGACAGGATGCCCATCCGCTGGTAGGCCGCCGCCACCTGCATTGCCAGCGCCACCTCATCAGCCCAATTACTCACGTGGTCGTGCCGTGTGTCGTGTGTCGTGTGTTGCGTTCGTGTGCGTGTGCGTGTCGTGCGACAAGTACCAGTTGCGAGCAGAAGATGGTGTCCAGGTTGTCGCACTCGTTGGAGTCGCGCAAGGCGCGGAGCAGCTCGAGCGGGTTTGTCTTGTAGGGTCGCCCATCGACTTCGGCCACAAATTCGTGCAGCGCCGCCTCCATCTCTTCCGTGCGCTCGGTGCGCAGGCGCCGCACGCCGAGCTCCGTGCGCGACTCCAGGTAGAACGCCAGGCGTCGGTCGAGGTGGAACAGGTGCACGCCGTCTCGCGTGGCCTCGAACAGATAGAGGCCCTCGCGCTTCCGATGCTTGGCCACCATCGCCACGTGGTCCCACTGTGCACGAACACAGTCAACGGATTGATTTTTGGTTGGTCTTTGAGGAGTGATTGATTGGAGGTTGGTTGGTGGCCACGTACTCGGCTGCGGGTGGCGAGCTTGGCGCCGTGCGAGGCGAGCTGGGAGCAGTGGAAGAGGATGACGTCGCCCACCTGCAACCGCAGCGGCACCGCCAGCGAGGGCAGGCCCAACGCGCTCAGCGCGCCCGCGCTCTGGTCCAGCGATGTGTGTATCTGAAATGAAACAAAATGTTAGTCGGAATGATGGCAATGGCCGGGGCGGGCCGTACGGTCATGTGCATGCTGCCGAGGCGTGTACGGCTTCGGTCCTTGCTCTTGGCCGCGACCCGGGAATCGCGGGCGTCGTTGCTGGCGTCGTCGCCCAGCTTCTGCCAGTTCCATAGGAGCTGGTAGTCGCAGGTGGGGACGATGGGCAGCCACAGGTCGTGCGTCTTGCCGGCGGCCAGACGGGCCAGCGGCACCTCCATCGTGCCCACGTGGAGCCGCCGCGCACGGTGCGCCTTGGTGCGGCAGCGGTAGAACAGCTTCACCGACAGCGTGGGCTCCACCTCGCCGCCCTCCTGATACACGCTGCAGACGCTCGACCAGATCAGTCGCACAGCACAGCACAGCACAGCACAGCACAGCACAGCACAGCACAGCACAGCACAGCACAGCACAGCACAGCACAGCACAGCACAGCACAGCACAGCACAGCACAGCACAGCACAGCACAGCACAGCACAGCACAGCACAATTGCGTACAAGGTGAGGTGGTGGTTGAAGGTCGGGCTGGCAATGGTGGTGCGCTTGGTGCGGGTGGTGTTCTCGCCCACGCTCACGGTGAAGAAGGGCGCGAAGAGCTTGTGCTTGAAGAGCTTTCGCATGGCCCGCTTGTTGAGCACCAACAGGTCCTTGGCCTCCAGCACTGCAGCGTGCAATTGTGAGAGATAGGAAAGAAAGAGTGTCAGCAACGCGCTGCGAGGCTGCCGGCGGGCCATGCACCTGTGTGCACGCGAGATTGACGTACAGACGAGGTCGAGGAAGGCGGCGCGCGGAACGAACTCTTCGTCTTTGCTGCGGGTGCCTCCCTTGACTTGCCCTCGTTGCGGAAGGCGGGAGACGTGTCTTGGTTGTATCGGCAAGCGCGCTCGTCGTCCTCGTCGTCCTCGTCGTCCTCGTCATCGTCCTCTCCAAACTCCTCATCTTCCTCCTCTTCAGAGTCCTCGTCATCCTCTTCTTCATCCTCTTCGTCGTCTTCCTCCGAGGAGAGCACTGGGCCGACCGGCGCCGATCGCGACAGGTTCTTCAGCTTCCTCTTCCGCTCCTTCTCCTCTCTTCCTTCTCTTTCTCTTTCTCCTTCTCCTTTTCTTTCTCTTTCTCTTTCTCTTTTTCCTTCTTCGACGGTGGCGACTTGCTGTTGTCGCTGCCCTTGCGCTGCAGGGTGAAGGTGGTGACCAGGGGTCCCTTGGTGAGCGAGCCCTTGCGGCGCATGGCCGGCAGATCGGCGACACCGCCATCGGGCCGGTGTTCGGTGATGACCAGCTCCGAGTCGGTCATGGCCCGGCGGCGACCCGACGGCGGCACCCACAGCCCGTAGCCGAACGAGCCCAGGCTGTTCTTCCGCCGCTCCTTCGACGTTGCGGTCTCCTCGCCGTCGTCTTCCTCGTCGCCGTTGTCCTCCTTGGACTTCGTGAGCGCGGCGGCCTTCTTCGTGACGAATTCGACGTTGCGCTCCCGCTGCTCGCCGCTGCCGGGGAGTTCGAGCTCGACAGGCTGCGCGGCGTCGCCTTCGACCAGGCGCTTGAGCTTGATGAGCTGCTGGCGCTTCTCGCCGCGGCGTACCTCCCTCTCCCTCTCCTTCTCCTGCTGTTGCTGTCGGGCCTTGGTCTTTCGCCGGCTCCGGCGCAGGAAGAACAACCCGCCCGCGGAGCCCACGGGGCCGGTCGTGTCGCTGTTGTTGTCTACCTCCTCTTCGCTCTCTTCTTCGGTGCTGCTCTTCTCCTCTTCATCCTCGACCTCTTCGCCGTCACTTTTCCGATCGTCTGCGGCCTCTTTGGCGGTCGTTTCTTCGTTTCTTTGCTGTTTCTTTTTGTTTTTGTCTTTGTCTTGTCTCTTCTCCATTTGCACCTCCTGCTTCATCATCTTCATCTTGGGCAGTTTCTTCTTCTCGGGACTCGGGGCGATATGGATCTTGGTGGGGCTGCTCGTGAGAGATGATGTCGGAGACTCGCCACGGGCCTTGGCTTCAGCCAACTCGGCCTTGGATGATTTTAGTGGAGACGTTGAGCCTTCGTGTCCATCCTTGCCGCCGGGGCTCGGTCGCCTCCCTTCTTCTTGTCTAGTCATTGCCCGGGCTCTGCAGAATCGATTTGCTGCATTCACAAAATGCCGCTACTCGTCAGAAAGCGATCAACGCATGCTGAAATGGACAAGGAGATGAGGATGGTACAGGTGCTCTCTCCTTCTCAAAAGGGGTGCCTTCCCCCTATTTACTACTTTGGCTCAATCCTCGTTCCTGATCTGATGCGTGAATGGAATGAAAGAAAGGAGGCGGGCGAACCACCTTCCGTGCCGAGAGATAAGAAGCTTTCCTCTGCTCGAGCGCAGACGTCGAGGGGATAGAGGTAGAACGACGGAGGTGTTGAGGAGCTGCACCGTGAACGAGCAAGTCCCAGGGAAATGTCAGGCCATTCGACGCCCACAAGCTGACCCGCTCGGGCAGTTTGACCTGAAATTTCGGCCGTAACATTTGTTTTACGTAGACACTGTACTATTTCAGTGCGCACGCTAATAGCTGTGTGCTGGCAGGTGGCCCGCAGGAGAACCCTGCGCGCTGGACATGGTAGACTACAGGTCAAAGTGTTTCATTCGTTTCTTCAACTACAACGACATGTGTCAGATGCCTTTGCTGAGCGTTCTGGCTCGTCTCTCTCGTCGGTCGAGCATGTCCCGGTCCTGCACGATGCTCGAGTCCGTCAGCTCCTCCTTGCTCAGGGTGCGGGCGCGCCTCACCCGCACGGTGTGTGGACTCGCCTCCGACTCCGAAGACGATGACGACGTCAGGCTGTCCAGCAGCGACACCTCCTTGCTGTTCGACCGGCCCCGCCGGCCCTTCCAGTCCAGCAGCATGGCCAGCGGCGACAGCACGGGCTCGGGGCTGGTGCTTTCGTCGTCGGCCGCCAGCTGGCCGTTGTTGCCGCTGTTGCTAAGTGGCGTGGAGGCCGCGGCAGCTGCTGAGGGTCCTCGATCGCCACCGCGGTGGATGACCGACCGACTCTTCTTCCCGTTGGTGCTCGAGCCGGCGCCCTCCATCACGCCCAGCATCTTCATCGCCTTGAGGGGCACGGCCGTGTTGTTGTTCGGCGCCGGCTTGCTCCTCGTCGCTGTGGAGCTTGATGAGCTGGGCGATGACTGAGTCGGCGGTGAGGACCCGCCAGCGTCGGATGCCTCGAGGTCGTAGTCGACGTCCTGATTCCAGCGCCCGGCCGAGGTGACGTCGAGGTTGACCATCCCCAGCAGCTTCATGGCCTTGAGCGAGAGCACCGGCGAGGCGTGGCTGCCCCGAGGGGACAGCGCCAGCTCGTGCGACAGCGACTGGATCTCGTCGTTGAGTTGCTTGTACTTGAGCTCCTCTTGTTGCTGCTGCTGATTACACCGGTCAGCAAGAAGGTGAATTTGATATAGGAATGAATAAAGAAGCATATCGTCAGCGTCATCGTACCTCCACATCCCCCAGGATTCCGAATCGTTGCAGGAACCTCTTCTTCTTGTTTTGTGGGGCGGCGTTGCCCAGCTCGTAGAGCTTGCTCACCACCATCTCGACCTTGCGCGCTCTGCTCAGATCTGGGGCCGATATGGCCTTGCCCGACTTCCTCGAAGCCCCATTGCATTCTTCTTCTTCTTCTTCGCCCTCTCCCTCGCCTTCATCATAAACATCGTAGTATTCAACTTCTCCGCTCGAGTCCAGATCGCCCAGGAGGTCCACCTTCGACCTGACGATGTCGCTCCCCCCTGTTCTGGTGGGCACTTCGTTGGAGGACCACCGTAGCGCATCTTTCCTCCTCCTGGAGACTAGGGGCGATGTTGGTGTCGACATCGACGAAGACGTAGAAGAAGTGGAAGGTTCCGGATAACAAGCTGGTGGTGATGTTGAGAGGGGGCTGGCCTCCTGGTTGTCGGCTGTTGTTGGCGTAGAGCCTTTCCCGCTGCGTCGTGTCTTCTCCTCCCCCGGCTTCTTCAACTTCTTCTTTTTCTTCTTCTTCTTCTTCTCCGTCGTTGTTGCTGTGGTCTTCTCCTTGACTTTGTCGCCAGGAGGCCCTGGGATCCAGTCGTCGAAGTCTTCCAGCATCATTCTGCAGCAGTTGAAAGAGGGAATCGGAACGGATGAAGACGTGCCTGTCGTAGCTGTGTTGAGTCGTGCTCGACCTTGTAGAACAGTATGCTTATCACCCCCTGCCGGTTGTCTCTGCTGAAGGAAAAGACGTTTGCTCAAGTTTGAAGAAGTACCAAGATAGGAAACCGGCTTCATACCATATCGCTCCACATTTTGTACCATTTCTGGGCATGAACGTCAACCAACCCACGCCCCCAGTAACCAGTTGATGTCATGTCAAGCCCTTCAAGTTCAAAGTAGAAGGGAGGAGTGCCTTTTTGGCACTTGTCAGCCTTGGCTCAGTGACAAATAAAAGTTCAACATGGCCAGTCGAAAGAACAAACAAACACAACTACAAGAACTTGCAGATCATGGACACCAGAGCAGGAGTGATGCTACTCGCCTACGCCGGCGCCAGCGAGGGTGACTCTCTGTCGCATATCCGCACTGCCGAGCTGGCGCTGCAACAGCTCAGCGAGGCGTGCTTGCTTCACCACAACAGCCGCGTGGCCCAGCTCTGCGGGTTCAATCCCTGCCTGGGTAGCACCGACGCTGCAGCGTCCAGGGTCGTGTGCTGCACCCCTCCAACTGGTGGTCAGTACTCGACCCACCACCAGCGATCGTACACGTGGCACTACAGCTGTGTCTCCGACAACGACGGACAGTAGGCGCCCACTGCGATGCCGAACAGCCACCACCAGGCCAGAGCAGCGAGCAGCGCCACTAAGGGACCTGGTTCCCGCTGGCACAACTACTCCGTTGGCGACATCTTGCGACTGTACAGTCCCAAAAGAGAGTAAGGACCACCAACCCACTGTAAATACCCTCTTTTTCAACAACCAATAGTAGGCTTGCGCGTGGGGTTCGCTGAAGACTTACACAACAAAACGGCGGAAGCCGAGAGCAAGTTGTTGACGACTGAAAGCCAAGGCCCAACATGAGCACCACCAGCGCCACTAAGAAGATACTGACCTCGGACAGCCACCCGCTCAAGGTGGACTATGTAGCCGACCTGCCCACCCAGGGCAAGCTCGGTGCAGCTTCTCTCTTTTCCCTACCCCCCCCCACCAGCGGCTGACCACGTAGTCCACACGGGTCCTGCAGGGATGACCTTCGCGCCGGGCAAGTTCCAGGAGAACACCCCTACGGGCAACGTCTGGCATCGCGACGTGGCCACCGACGTACGGTACGTCAACGTTGCCAAATGCCGACGTTGATGGCAACGAGGGTCGGGCTGACGATTGAGAGCGGACATGCCGCCATGCTGACCAGGGTGCTGCGGGAGACGCACGGGACCGACGTGCTGGTGTCCCTGCTGGAAGACTTTGAGTACTCGCACATGCAGATCGAGCACCTCTTCGCGACGTGCCGGGAACACGGCATCGAAGTCATCCACTACCCCATCGTCGGTGAGCCTACTTCAGCCGCACACACACACACACACACAATCGCACACGCACCACCGCACACGCGCTCACAAACGATGTGTACATACATATTACGCGTACCTCTGCGCAGATGGAGAGACGCCGGTGTCGCTGGAAGACACCCACGCCGTGGTGAGCAAGATGCAGGCCCACCTCGAAGCCGGCCGTAACGTCGTCGTGCACTGCAAGGCTGGCTTGGGCCGCACCGGTACAATCTTACGCCACACACACGCAGCACACGCACACGCATGCCTACCGTCAATGTGGTCTGTGAACTGAGAAATGAATGGTGTGATGATGTTATTCACGCACCATGGCTGGGGCGGGGGACAGGGCTCATAACCGGCTGTTGCCTGAAGGCGCTCGGGGTGTCGGGAGAGGAGGCCCTGGAGCGCGTGCAGCTGGCGCGAAACGGGACGTGCTATCAGACCAATCAGCAGCACTACCTGCTCCACTCCTTCCTCCCCGCCGTGCCAGCTGACCGCCAGAATGCCTGAGCTCGGGTGCGCATTGTCCCCGTGCAATGGAACGAAAATAAACAAAGTCGAATTCAGAACGGTAGAAAAAGAAAATGAAATGAAAAACAAAAGTAAAAAGAAACAAGACCAAAGCAAACAAGTTGGAAGGCAACATGACCACCAAGAAGATACTGACCTCGGACAGCCACCCGCTCAAGGTGGACTTTGTGGCCGACCTGCCCACCCAGGGCAAGCTCGGTACCCAGAGAAGCTTCCTCGCCCCCTCTCCCTCCGGGCCAGGTGACTGACCACTGGGCCACACGGGTCTTGCAGGGATGACCTTTGCGCCGGGCAAGTTCCAGGAGAACACCCCTACGGGCAACAACTGGCACCGCGACGTGGCCACCGACGTACGGTACGTAAACGAGTCGATGTGGTGATGTTACTGTGGACGATGGTGATGATGGTCGTGACTGACGTTATCGAGAGTTCATGTCGTGACCGTTTCGATGACCAGGGTGCTGAGGGAAACGCACGGGATAGAGGTGCTGGTGTCCCTGCTGGAAGACTTTGAGTACACGCAGCTCCAGATCGAGCACCTCTTTGCGACGTGCCGGGAACACGGCATTGAAGTCATCCACTTCCCCATCGTCGGTGAGCCGGACTCCAGCCGCACACGCAACACGCATCACGCACACACGCACTCACAAACAAACAAATATATTACGCGTACCTCCCACGCAGATGGAGAGACGCCGGTGTCGCTGGAAGACACCCACGCCGTGGTGAGCAAGATGCAAGCCCACCTCGAAGCCGGCCGTAATGTCGTCGTGCACTGCAAGG